ATTCATTTTAATGGAGAATCCACCAGGATTTTAAGATTATAATACGCCTGGATATTTTTTGAAAATACGTGACTAAAATTTCGTACGGGCATGATGTATCAGAAAGATTAATCTTATGACCTGGTTGTTACAATGTACTAGTATTGACCATGCTTCCTGACAACACCATAACATAAGAAAATTTTTTGCATGAAATTTGGTACATTTTCCACTTGTGCTGGTGTGAGAGTATATCTTTGACCATAGCTACAATCTTAGCTACAGCATTGCTCCAATAAGCAGCTACAGTGTGAAAGTTTAAAAAAGGAGCTTCAATTTAGATTATTGAAATTCACAGCTTTAATGTTAAAATATGAAGAAACATGTATAATGAAGCCTGTTCAGATAACCAGATTTAAATAAGATTGTTCAGCTATAAGCAGGTACAATCTAGATAGATTGCATAAAGAAGCAGTATAATATAGGCTGCTCTGAAAAAGCAGCTATGATCTAGATTGCTCAAATAAACAGCAACAATCCAGATAGCTCAGATAAGCAGCTACAATGAAATGTAGAGAAAACAAACAGTAAACAAGATCAAAAATCCTATTAAATATTACGAATTTCGAGTAGAGAAAACACTGAGTCCAAGGAAACATCAGAGCTGGGATCAGCTAGGTGCCATGTAGGAGTAAGCATCCATTGTCAACCAGTCACACCCGCCATGAGTGGATTGTTTTGATCAGGTGAATGATGAAGTATTCCTGAGACAAATCAGTATGAAAGTTATGGCAACAACAATTTGTTTTTAAAACGTTAGTTAATATTCGACCTAACAACGTTGTATTTGCAAAAATGTCATGGTATTGACCAAAGACTTTGCAAAATGTTGATATTAACGAGATTCTTGATAAAAAGTGTTGTCAATATACCTAAATGTAGGAGACCACAGAAAGAATCTTCTTTTCATGTAAAAGTTTTTAATGAATTCTTATTGATATTCAAAAAACAGATTAGCTTATATAAAGAGGCACAATTATACCCATTGAAATTCCAACAGATTGTTGGAAGACCTGGTCTTCAAAGACTTCATAGTTATCTTAAATGAGGAACCTCGGCATCTTTTAATATTATCTCCAGAGTACTTTTGTAAATAATCGGAATGATTTTTATCAAAATGATATTGTTGATGACCAATTATAAGATATGAAAATTTCCGAGTTCCATTTGTATTGAAGAAGCAGTTTTTAATGTTGTATTAGAAGAAAAGCAGGAATGTTAAGCTGTCCGATAAAAAAGGAATATTTGCAATGCCTTTCATCATGAAGTTTTATGATGTACATAACGAGGAATCAATGTCGCCAGATCATCAATATATTATCACTTTTCAGATCTTCCACTACTTGATCATGTTGATGAAATCGACTCTCGTATTTCAGGTGTATAAATACAGCATCGGTTTCTGTGGACTCGTAGTTGGATTATTTCATACATGGCATATCTAACATACCTGGGGTATATAGAATTCGAAACCTTACGGGGTTCTTGCAGTGATTAATTTCATACAGTGTCATATTATTTGGTAAATATGTAAATCTTGTTTAAATAGTTGGATTAATTAATAATAACAGACATATTGCATGTACATTTTGTTATTATAAGTACTTAAGTTGTTCTATGTCCATCATAAAAATATTTTTGATGTACGCCGACCCACATTTTTCAAGGTGGGTAGGTTTTTTTTTTTTTGGGGGGGGGGGGGGGGGATTGAGTGTCTAGCAAACTGATAATTGTCATAAAAATAACAAACTCTGAAATTTATTGATGTTTTCATTATGCACTGGACAGCTAGACAGGTTTAATATTCATTGCTGTAAAACTTTCAATCGTGAAATCTTAGAAAATAATAAACTATAACTTTACAAAAGAAACAATCTGCTGATACCCAGAAAAAAAATTTAAAATGTTAAGTACTGAAAAAAATGATTGAGTAGAGGCGATTTTAATAAGTCGGTTACATCATACAAAAACATTTTTAGGTCACCTGAGTCACTCATGTGACCTATTGCTATCTGTTTTTGTCCGTCGTCGTGCGTCGTCCGTCGTGCGTTAACTTTTGAACATTTTTAACTTCTTCTCTAGAACCGCTCAACCAATTTCAACCAAATTTGGTATATAGCATCTATGGATGAAGGGGAACAAAAATTGTGAATTTCATGGTCCCTGCCCCCCCGGGGCCTGAGGGGTGGGGCTAAAACCACCAAAAATAATGCAATCTTTAAAAATCTTCTTCTTTACTCCCGGACATGAAGCAGTCAAACTGTTGGCATCATTGTAATAAGCATTGAGCCCTCTACCAAAATTGTGAAATTCATGGCCCCAGGGTCAGGGGTTCTGGCCCCAGGGTGGGGCTATATAGATCATATAGTGAAAATGCATTAATTCTTTGAAAATCTTCTTCTCTGCTCCTGGGTATTAAATAAAGTTACTAAGTACATAGTTATGATGAGCAAGAGTGCCTCTTCCAAAATTGTGAAATTCATGGCCCCTGGGTCAGGGGTTCTGTCCCCAGGGTGGGGCTATATAGATCATATAGTGAAAATGCATTAATTCTTTGAAAATCTTCTTCTCTGCTCCTGGGTATTAAATAAAGTTACTAAGTACATAGTTATGATGAGGAGGTGGGCCTCTTCCAAAATTGTGAAATTCATGGCCCCAGGGTCAGGGGTTCTGGTGTTAGGGCGGGGCTCTATTGATTATATAGTGAAAATGCATTAATTCTTTGAAAATCTTCTTCTCTGCTCCTGGGTATTAAATAAAGTTACTAAGTACATAGTTATGATGAGCAAGAGTGCCTCTTCCAAAATTGTGAATTTCATGGCCCCAGGGTCAGGGGTTCTGGTGTTAGGGCGGGGCTCTATTGATTATATAGTGAAAATGCATTAATTCTTTGAAAATCTTCTTCTCTGCTCCTGGGTATTAAATAAAGTTACTAAGTACATAGTTATGATGAGCAAGAGTGCCTCTTCCAAAATTGTGAAATTCATGGCCCCTGGGTCAGGGGTTCTGTCCCCAGGGTGGGGCTATATAGATCATATAGTGAAAATGCATTAATTCTTTGAAAATCTTCTTCTCTGCTCCTGGGTATTAAATAAAGTTACTAAGTACATAGTTATGATGAGGAGGTGGGCCTCTTCCAAAATTGTGAAATTCATGGCCCCAGGGTCAGGGGTTCTGGTGTTAGGGCGGGGCTCTATTGATTATATAGTGAAAATGCATTAATTCTTTGAAAATCTTCTTCTCTGCTCCTGGGTATTAAATAAAGTTACTAAGTACATAGTTATGATGAGCAAGAGTGCCTCTTCCAAAATTGTGAATTTCATGGCCCCAGGGTCAGGGGTTCTGGTGTTAGGGCGGGGCTCTATTGATTATATAGTGAAAATGCATTAATTCTTTGAAAATCTTCTTCTCTGCTCCTGGGTATTAAATAAAATTACTAAGTACATAGTTATGATGAGCAAGAGTGCCTCTTCCAAAATTGTGAAATTCATGGCTCCAGGGTCAGGGGTTCTGGCCCCAGGGCGGGGCTCTATTGATTATATAGTGAAAATGCATTAATTCTTTGAAAATCTTCTTCTCTGCTCCTGGGTATTAAATAAAGTTACTAAGTACATAGTTATGATGAGCAAGAGTGCCTCTTCCAAAATTGTGAAATTCATGGCCCCAGGGTCAGGGGTTCTGGTATTAGGGCGGGGCTCTATTGATTATATAGTGATTATGCATTAATTCTTTGAAAATCTTCTTCTCTGCTCCTGGGTATTAAATAAAGTTACTAAGTACATAGTTATGATGAGCAAGAGTGCCTCTTCCAAAATTGTGAAATTCATGGCCCCAGGAACAGGGGTTCTGGTGTTAGGGCGGGGCTCTATTGATTATATAGTGAAAATGCATTAATTCTTTGAAAATTTTCTTCTCTGCTCCTGGGTATTAAATAAAGTTACTAAGTACATAGTTATGATGAGCAAGAGTGCCTCTTCCAAAATTGTGAAATTCATGGCCCCAGGGTCAGGGGTTCTAGCCCCAGGGTGGGGCTATATAGATCATATAGTGAAAGTGCATTAATTTTTTGAAAATCTTCTTCTCTGCTCCTGGGTATTTAATAAAGTAACTAAGTACATAGTTATGATGAGCAGGCGGGCCTCTTCCAGAATTGTGAAAGCCATGGCCCCTGGGTCAGGTGTTCTGGTGTTAGGACGGGGCTCTATTGATTATATAGAGAAAATGCTTTAATTCTTTGAAAATCTTCTTCTCTGCTCCTGGGTATTATTTAAACAAACTAAGTGCATGGTTATGATGCATAAGGATGCCTTTTCAAAAATTGTGAATTTCATGGCCCCAGGGTCAGGGGTTCTGGTGTTAGGGTGGGGCTGTATTGATTATATAGTGAAAATGCATTGATTCTTTGAAAATCTTCTTCTCTGCTACTGGAGACTATTTAAACGCATAGGGATGCCTTTTCAAAAATTGTGAATTGCATGGCCCCAGGGTCAGGGGTTCTGGTGTTAGGGCGGGGCTCTATTGATTATATAGTGAAAATGCATTGATTCTTTGAAAATCTTCTTCTCTGGTACTGGAGATTATTTAAACAAACTGTGCATGATTATGATAGACAAGGATGCCTCTTCCAAAATTTTTAAATATATGGCCTCAGTTTTTGGGGTTCTTGAGGAGGGGGGGGGGGGGCTAGGGCAACAATGCTTCATCTATCAGTGTATTTAACTTCTAAATTGTTGTATTATACTCAGGTGACCGTTAAGGCCCTTGGGCCTCTTGTTTATTTTTGGCCTATTAAGCTCTTTGCTTGCTTCTTCCATATTCTCCCAATGACGTAACATTTAAGGTTATATTAATGGGATTTAAAAGCCACAACATGCGTGTTCCGTTACTTGAAATACAATCTTATGACTGATTTTAAAGAGCAGAGAGCGTTATATTATGTGAACCGGGTGTTTTTTGAACGGATTTCGTAATACTGATATAGAACCTTGTCACGCTTAACTGTATTTTAACAAGATTCAGACAGAGGAGATTCTCAGGCATGGAACCAGTCACTGTTTTAAATTTTATATTGGTTTTCGTTTCTCTGACTTATGTTTTAAGCCAGGTTATACCCTGTGATAACACTGCAGGAGAAACGTGTTTACTGGCCAAGGGATTCGATGACTACCAACTAGCAAAGTGCTCCTCAAATGAAGAACTGGAGCCTCGGGGATTCCAGTGCGAGGACAAATGTACCAATGCATGCTGGCATCTGTGTATGTTCGAAAAGTTTGGAGAAAAGAATGGAAGTGTTTCAGAGAATTGTTCCTGTAAGCCGTATTTTAGAGAACTGCCTTCCTGGTGTTATGAGGCCACGGGTCACTGTGACTTTAACCAGAACTGCACTTTCGCCAAATATGGCTCCATTTGTCTGCCATCCCATCTGGGCGGCACAGGGATGGAAACGCCCATGTTTTACAACAACCTTTGCCCAGTTATAAACGATTTCTTCAGATTTCTTGATTGTGAAACCAAGATTTGGCTAGATGGCTTCAGAAAATGTCTTCAACAATATTTAATTGATACAGTCATTAAGATTACTACAACATGTAGTGATTTGAAGACGAAAGGAGAGGACGCCCTAAACATTTGTATACAAACGAGCTACAGTGGTAAAACTTTTTGTGACCTATCAAATTCTAATGACCAAAGCGATATAAGAAACGCCATAAGTCAGCTGCGAACACTTGTAGAATCCCAAATTCCTTCTTTCAACATTACCAGTTTTGATTTTTTGAATTGTACTTTGCCATAACAATTTATGGATAAATTCACTTTAGAATCGTATAACGTTGATTCATTGTATGAATATTTGCGGTAGTTGAACAATAACCGGATCGTAAGATGAGACGCCTTTATAAAAGATTGATGTTATTTTACGTGCCTTTCGTGTAATTAAACGAAAGGAACATAACACCACCTATTATCATGTTTATGGAGAGAGGGGACTGACAAAATGCGATTTTGTAAACAGCATCAACTAGTGTATATAAAGACTATGAAATGATTTAATAAATGGTCAAAACCCTACGACCAATTTATGCTGTTCCATTCGGTCCTGAGTGCACTAGTGGCCGTGGGCCAACATCAGGGGGTCCTAAGTCCACTCATGGATGTGAGACCCCGTCCTATTCTAACGGTCACAAGTGGATTCAAGGGGCCCATTTTATAAAAAGAACTTACGACTACATTGTAAGACCAAAAACTTTAGCTGCTCGTTAATTGTTACAAAATAAATAACTCTGTTTTAAAATTGTAGCATAAATATATCTTCTAAAATTCTCTTTAAAAAATTTCCAAATTTATTTCTAAAACATAGTTATTTGCAAAATTACATTTTCGTCTTAATCGTAAGTTCTTAATTAAAACTGAACAAAGACCTCTGAGGATTTACTAAATCATATAAAACAACTGCTTTGATAACTGTTTGTTTCGTAAATACTAGTATAAAGTTTTATGAGTTTGTGAAACATCAATAGTATATTCAGTTTGTTTGTTTTGTTTTTTTTGTTTTTTTTTTTTTTTTTTTTGTTATTTAGTGAATATTTAGTGAAAGTGAAATTGTTTACCAAAAATAATATTACACTAAAAACTTCCAGACCATCATTGTAAATATTTTATGAGTACAATATACAAATGACTACGGATATCATTCTCTGCTAACTTCACTTCATGCTGCTAATAATGTTATGAGAAAATATATATGTGAAAATGTTTTAAATTAATGCAACTAGTTTGATATGACAGACTGGAAAGATTGAAATTATGTAAATTAATAAGTCTGTCTAGATGTGTGTGTGTTTGTGTTCCTTTCTTTGACCGTATTGCAATCTGCATTCCATTCAGTTCATTGTATATGCATATTATACCTTGACTTTTTGTGTGGAGAGAGTACTTTTAAAGTATTTACAGGTACAGTGTATAGACATTGCCTATTGCCCAATCCTTTCAGATTTGTTTAAATAAAAGCATATTATTACTAATTTAAAAATAATTTTGGAGAAAGAGCAAAACCCGCTCATAAACCATTTTCTGTAGCTGACACTACACAAAACTTGCTATTATGTTAACATTGTATATAATGTAAGATTTGTATTTATAATGATACATAAGGAAAATCAGAGGAAATTAAAGCTTAACATGTTCTGTCAGTATTATCTAATTCGCTGAAAGAAATTCTTATGTTTACTTAATAATGAAGTATATGTCAGAGATAGTAAACACAAATATAGAAGAAAACCAATGTTTCTACTGCTCAAGTTATATATGACTTTATCTAAACATGAATATCAAGAAACTACAATTATTATATACATTTAAAAAAAAAAAAATCAACACTAAACGTACCGGTATTTAAGCATTTAATTTTATCCTTAATAGATCCTTCATATGGGAGTTTTAATTCATTCTCTCCAAAATCATTTCTCTCGTTCACATTAACAACGGAGCTTGCTCTTTATATGGTCATTGCTGTTTTTATTTTTTGCAAAAAAATTGGGGGGGGGGGGGGGGGGAGTTTACCACTAAGATAGTACTAATATATTTACTTAATGCATTATCTTCTTATTTGCATAATAATTAGCGCAAAATTTTCCAATAAGACTGTCCAGTACCAAATTCCAAATTTTAATATGTTCGCCGCCGTTCTTTTTATTACTTTATTTTTAAGTGATTCTACTTTTTGTTTTTCTGGTCCACAACACAGATAGATTTTTCCCTATTTTTCCTATAATGTTTTTACTTTGTCTACAGACATTATGGAATCAACATTAAGGATTGCCTCGTTATAAATGTAGCGCCGAACAAAAGGGCTGAGATGGTTTTACAAAAAAAAAAAAAGCTTGATTTCCGTTCCGGTCAATAGCTACATAATATTCTAATTCATTTCTCATACATAATGTAAAATTTTTAGTAAGTGCATATATAGTATGTAGAGATAGGAGGAAGCTTTTCATAGACGTTCACTTTATAGCATGATATTGTCAACGCATTTTGAGTTTGTCATCTCGAAATGTTATTTGAAATTATTCTTTGCTTTTCATTGTAATAGTAATGTATATAGTCTTAATTCTTTTCTTGACGTGTGTTTATTTTAAAACACATTTCCAGGGATATAATAAATATATACCATTAATGTATACAAATAGTCTAAATGAATTCCAAGGGAGTGCTCTTACTGACTTCTAGACCTATTGAGATCTGAATTTAGAACATTAACTACAAAAGTACAATAGTACATATATTGTAATTGTAAATAATACAAGCAGTACATATACTTTCCAGCTCAGTAAGTAGTAATACACTGAATTGATGAAATTCTAAGGGATAGAAATTCATCGCAGCTCATTGAAGACGACAATACCTGTATCTAGTAGTAAAGAGTGAATACTTCTTGTCCTCAAAGAAAGTGTGCTATACTGGGGTAAAGTTCCGCTTGACTGTGTTTTAGTTACATTGGAATTTACGATTTGCTTTCTCTTTAGTGTCTTTCATATCAAAAATGAACATGCATGAAAGATAGATAATTTAAGGAAGATACACAAGCCTCTATGAAAAGAATAAAATTAGTGTTTGAAAAGGCGGGAATTTAAAATGATGAAACCCGGTGGATTCGAACCACGACTCTAAAACAAAGTACCTGCGGTGTGAACAGTCAGCGGTTATACCATGTAAGCTATACTGGCTATGAAAATAATTGGGTTACCGGTGAATATGAACCAGGTTGTCGAAAACAAGTTTGATTATTTTTTGTAGGTTTTTGGTGAATTTCAACCCTAGGGCAGGGGTGCTCCTGAAAATATCCTCTTAAATCATTCCTTAGATCACAACCTATCAAAATATCATACTTTTATTTAGGGGCAGGCTTGCCCTGAAGGACCTCTAAGCCAAAATTCATTGAAAAATCGGTGCTTTAACTGGAAAAATGCTTTTTTTTATCCAACTCTAAAGGTTAATTTTAAAGTTACAAATAATAATTGAAATTTTAGGTTCAAAAAGTAAATTTGAAAAATTTAGACATATATACGGACAGAAATAACTAATGAACATTGATTTTATAAATGTTTTTCTGGGAATTTGTTCTCTCTTATAGTTGAATTCTTCTGAAATTCTGAATACATCCTTTACAGAGGTGAAAATGGCCGGGGCCTGATGCAAAAAAAAAAAAAAAAAACCCTGAAATATACTTTAGTGGTTTTGTTCCTGCATAACAATATAATATAGGATTGGTCCTTTTCTCAAAGCATGCTCACTATTGGATATGAATTACAAAATAATGGACAATTGATATAATATCATTATACCACACGTTTTACACAATAGTTTTACAATTTGGTAGAGCATTTTTTTCAGAAATAAAGTTTTAGGCTAAATTACCTTTTTATCTGATAACAATTAAGCTTTTTGTCATCCAAAATTTGCGAGTGCCTATGTATGTTGTACTCTTATAGTGTGGCTGAAAATGGAGTGGTTTACATTCACTATATCATTTATTTTTTAACCAGTTGAATAGAATGTATGTACTTGAACGTTTAATGTCTACCGATTTTTTTCATATGATAAATAGAACTTCGGCCCTCGGGCTGATATGGGGCCACTCGGCCTGATATGTCATGATATGAATTTGAGTGTAATATTCTTTATATGTACAGTCATCTGTTTTGATAGGATATGAGAAGGAAGTATTTCTGTACCACAATGTAAGGCCATGGAGATGAATTTGAGTTTACAGCTTATATATTCGTAAAATTTACCAGTAAGTGAAGTTACAAATCATTATGTTGTAATCAATAATGAAGTAGTACATATTTATGGTATGTATTTTTGATTTTAAGTCTTGTAATTTTAGTGCTTGTTGTAATCTTTTATTATGTAGCAGGCAGTATATAAAGAATTATACTGCCTCGCTATAGTCAGCTTTTCTAGTAATGCGGTAGAGTCTCCCTCAATTTCAGGCAGGTTAAGCTGCAGCAAGCCTGGGTGACCACATAACGTTACAATATACAATTTTGGAAAGTACAATATGAGTTGTTTTGGTTTCTGTCATATTTTGACAATCTTTAGCTATTGACTTTCGGCAAAAACTCTTTCGTTAAGGATTGTGGTATAGATAATTTGAAGTTTATTGAAAACTTTGTTAATGTTATCCTAAACATTGATTTCTCGATGGATTACGTGCAAAGTTTTAAGAGATTTATTTTGTATAAAAGAGCTAATTAGTTCTGTACTATAACCATCATAAACTAAATGATAATTAAAAAAAAGAATTTAGTATACATGGATGGATCTACGGGGGGGGGGGGGGGGTCAGGAGGGGGTTCCCCTGGACTTTTCAGTTATTAAATTTCTATGTAAAAGTAACGAAAAATGACCTTGGACTCCCTCCTCCCTAGGAAACACAGACCCTTTTTAAAATACATGTAGTAAGAAAATTCACCTATCTGAAGAAAGTGACTTGGGAAAGTGTCTTCTCCAAGTCAAACCCCTTGGAAGTAGGATTTTCAGGTTTTGGCAAGTTTTTTCGCGTCTTTGTATCTTTGTTTGTTTTGCTTGTCAAAAAATTTCCGAGTCTGACTTTTATTACAGTTTATTTGGACCCCCACCCCACCTTGGGGAAAAATCCTGAATCCGCCCTTGTAATATAGGAAAGAACACAATTAATTATTGGATACCCAGCAGAGAGAGAGAGAGATATCGCCAGTCAACGTCTCTTACGACATATGAGAACGTTTAAGTTATGAAGTCTCCATAATCACTGTAATGTAATATCTCTTTGCTTAATTTAAAAGTCTGAACAAATGGAGAGATTTCACCATATGGACTTGTATAAATTATATTTACAGCTATTTCAGAAGTGTGCTGCTTTGGTTTCCTTTAAAATTTTTGGTTCAAAATTATTTAAATCATGCATGACCAACAACACACATAGAATTTTAATTTTAGCTTATTTCCGGGAACTTCAAATTGAGTGTGAATCTTTTTGTTGTTTTAATTGAAGAGGGAAACAGATTTGGCCAACAAGCATCAACAATATTTTTCCGGTTTTATTTTGCAGATGACATGGAAAAATCAAAACCAAAGCACACAACATGCACGACGAAAGAAATCGATGACATCATAACAGCGCCCTCTGGTGGAATAACTATGTTACCTAGCAATGCTTGTGACGAAGTATACCCTGGACTTTTTATAGGAGAAGAGTAAGTCTTTCAGCTCAGGTGACCTTTTCTGATCACCTGTTGTCCTTCGTCCGTCTGTCTGTCCGTCCGTCCGTCTGTAAACTTTTCACATTTTCAATTTCTCAAGAACCACTGGGCCAAATCTAACCAAAGTTGGTACAAAGCATCATTGGGTAAAGGGGAGTGTAAATTGTTAAATGAAGGGCCAAGCACCGTTGCAAGGGGAGATAATCAAGAAAAACAAAAATAGGTGGGGCCATTAAAAAAATCTTCTCAAGAACCACTGGGCCAGAAAAGCTGAAACTTATGTGGAAGCATTCTGGGGTAGTGTAGAATCTAAATTGTTCAAAACATGACCCCTGGGGGTAGGGTGGGGCCACAAAAGGGAATCGAAATTTTTACATTGAAATATATGATAAAAATCTCTAAAAATCTTCTTCTCAAGAACCTTTTGGCCAGAAAAGCTGAAACTTATGTGGAAGCATTCTGGGGTAGTGTAGAATCTAATTGTTCAAATCATGACCCCTGGGGGTAGGATGGGGCCACAATCAAGAATCCAAGTTTTACATTGAAATATATAGGAAAAATCTCTAAAAATCTTCTTCCCAAGAACCTTTTGGCCAGAAAAGCTGAAACTTATGTGGAAGCACCCTGGGGTAGTGTATAATCTAAATTGTTCAAATTATGACCCCCAGGGGTAGGGTGGGACACAATTGCTACTGTATTACAAGGAGGAAAATCTGGTGAAGAACAGCAGGGCCAAAGTTACTCAGGTGAGCGTTGTAGCCCATGGGCCTCTTGTTTATTATTTGATGTGCTTGACTGTTATATACGTCAGTGATAAATATTTTCACAAACTAATTGAATCAAACAAATTGATGAATTAAGAAATAATAAGTAAAACATTTTACATTCTTGGATATCGAGGAATTGCATTTAAATAAGAATGATCGATTTTTTTTTCTTTCAATGTTATGAACAGCTCCAATATATGCACTTATTTCCTTATTATTTTCTATGTCTATGTAATTTGCTTTATTTTCATGGAATTTTCTAATATTTATATCTGAATAAAGTTCTAAAGAAATTCTTAAATACTTCTTAAGGTTGTTTTGTGTAACATTATATTTTACTTGAGTAACGATTTCTTACTTGAATTTAATATTGTTCTTATCCGCATGTTATTTTTATTGAAAAATCTATTCTTAATTAGCATTTAATGCTAGTTAAAGCTGAACATGATTCGAAAAAGGAAATTGTTCATCATATTCTTTTATTCAGTTTCTTCATCTGAGGACCACTATATAAGCCGTTCATTTAGTCACTGTTCAGTTTAATCAGTTGTCACCTTTGTAGACGGACGTACACTACATAGCTATTGTAAAACAAAAATAACGGTGTACTTCTTCCACGGCAAGAGAAAAAACACCAAGAAACTTAAAACAGTTGCACAGGTCAGTGCAGTATACAAACCAATATAAATACACTAAACTGCAATAAAATGTAAACAAAGGTAATGTAAGATAACCAGCACGAACTCGTGTCGTCCATTCCACGCCTGTACCCATGACAATAAAGCAGTCAGTCGTAACGAATGCGAAGGTGGTACCCCAGTGCTGAAATCGGCGATAGGAAATTTAGTATGGCGTATGCCTATTCATCTTTAACATAAACCTTCATGATCTAGATAACAGTACTTAGTTTAAAATGCTTTAGAAATTCCAGAAGTCCTTATATACAGAATATGCTGTACCCTACTCTTCATTTCATTGGGTTTTCCTTATGATTAAATTTTCTAGGTCTATTGGAAAAAGTCGAGTCGGTTTACGGGAAATGGGTATAACCCATGTAGTTAACACAGCGATGGGAAAAGGTCAGTATTTTGTCAACACGAACCACGTGATGTTCCAGAAGGTCGGGATACAGTTCTATGGATTTGAAGCCATGGATATGATGCACGTTCAACTTACACCTTTCTTTCAAAAGTCTGCAGACTTCATTGATCAAGGATTAAAGGAAGGTGGTACGTGATACAAGTTCAATCGGATATGTAATTTCTATAGTTTATTTAAAATGTATGGCTTACTTATATGAGATGTTACCATATATTGGTGAGGGCCTCAAATTTAACCTTTACTCGGCACACAGGGCCATTGAGCAGTGAGGGTTCATTATAGTGGCAAAGCCTACCTTGACACGGGATCTGAGTTTTTAGCTTACCTGAGCTAAAGGCTCAAGTGAGCTTTTCTGATCGAAATTTGTCATTTTCATCTTCTCAAGAACCACTGGGCCAATTTCAACCAAACTTGTCAGAAAGCATCCTTAGGTGAAGGGAATTAAATTTTACTGAAATGAAGGGCCACGCCTTCTTTCAAGTGGAGATAATTCAGAAATAGTGAAAATTTAGTGGTATCTTTTGAAAATCTTCTTCTCAAGAAATATATAGGAAAAAATCTTTTAAAGAACAGAAAAGCCATTAGTTATATTCATATGGAACCATAGGCAGGTAGTGTAAAATTCAAGTTTGTCCTCCGTGGACCTTTTGTTAAATGTCCCGCGACTTCCACTTCTAGTGGCGGGCGCTCGGCGAAGGAACAGTTATACCAGCTATGTTTACGTTTTAGATTTGAAGGGAACAAGAGTTGAATTTGCTACCTCCCATCACTAAGCGAGCGTCCTATCACTAACTAGGCTGCTGCGACCGGTTAAAGCAATATTTTCAGAAAATGTATTAAATTTATTACAGTCAAAAAATGGAAAAAGAGAAAGAAATCCGTTAAATCGCATCTGTAAAATTATCCCATCTATCTTGCAATCGTAAATCTACTTTTATAAATAAGAATAATATCACTAAATTAAGACGTTTTTAAAAGATAAATTAGAGATATTCCAGATTGTTATTATTTTTGAGATACTCTCTTTTTGTGCAAAATAAATGCAAAAAATTGCAAGGAGCATGTTTATTTATAGTATTTCTTCTTAAATAGAAGGCAAGTCAAATGGTCTCTTAGCATATGGCAGTTATTTAGATATTGGTTATTTGAATTAAGAGCCTTTAAGATGAAATCGAAAAGCATAAATTTCAGGTACAATAATATAGTATCCTTTTGTATTAATTAGAGATTGAAGGAAAACATTTTCTATAGAATGTGTTTAAAGATTTTTATGATGCTCAAGAAAGTGAATATAAGCTTTATTGTGAAAGGCAATTTCTAAAAAATAAATACGTTTAACTTATTTCATTGCAAAGGAAAAGTCATGGTGCATTGCAAAGTTGGAGCAAGTCGATCTGCAACAATAGTGATAGCGTTTTTGATGATGAAGCGTCACATGACCGTACAAGAAGCGGTGCGCATGATCAGAACTAAGCGGGAAATAGCACCGAATGAAGGCTTTCTACAACAGTTATGCGATTTGAATGACAAGCTGCATAATTCTGGACATTTCAACAAAGAATCAAATGAAGACCAAGGATAACCATGGATACGTGTATGCTGATTACTTGTAAATGTTTGGATCTTTTGATACCCGTCTCTAAAATGGGAAAACATCACGTTTTTCGTGTGTATGGTATCCTAGATTGTTAAGTGTTTAATAGTAAATTCTGAGGTTCTGAGTAAACGAGTAGAATTAGACCAAGCCTTTTGATTGATACCCAGTTTATGCAATTTAACCAGGACAGAGGGGATCTTAGTGTTGTTGTATTGTGTCGTAATTTGACTTACAACTTTTGTGCCTCGATCTGACTGAAATCAGATATTACACTTTTACAACTTTTCTAAAAAAAAAAATAAAAATAACCTTTTATGAAGTGCAATTTAAAACTGTATTATATTATGTTTTATAGTAGATTTTCAAGATGTGAGTGTGTGAAGTAAAGATATTGTATTTATGAATTATCAAAATAATGAGTGAGTCTTATTGCAAGAAAATTCTATAAAGTTTCATTAAATCTTGTTCACATGAATTTTTCTTAATTATTTTTTATGTTTATTAACTTGCTAATTGTTATCAATATAATTTTATGCTAGCGTTATCCTTTTTCATCTTAATTCATTTATTATTTTAGTAGTTTTTAGGTGAAAACATAAATTAAAAGGCGAATTAATCCCAATATACTCCAAATTATTCCCAAGGGTTTTAACTGTATTGAAATGTTGAAAAACTCTTAGATATATCGACGACGTATTGTCAATTAACAATGGTTATTTCCATTCTTTTGTCGATACGATATATCCTGGTGAGCTTGAGATAAAAGATACCACAGAGTCTGACACATCTGTTTCATATTTGGATATTTTACTTGAAAAAGACGGTAATCTAACAACCAAGCTTTATGATAAACGTGATGACTTTAACTTTTCAATCGTCAACTTACTTATGCAGCAATATACCTTCATCACCTGCATACGGGGTTTATATCTCTCAGCTGATTCGAGAAAAAAGGCGATCAACAGATTTGTACCCTGCACGTATTGTCTTATCTACCTACCGACCCAATTTTTACATCCTGAGTCGGGAGAAGGCAAAAAACATTATTTTAAAGGTGGCCTGAAAAGAAGAATTTTCTTGTTGTGGCCTTAAAGTCGACATTTAGATATATCGATGAGCTTTGATCAATTAACAATTTATCTTTTTATTCATACGTTCATTCGATATATCCCATTATAAAAGTATAATAGACACTACAGTGTACGACACATTTGTATCACATTTGTATGTTTATTCAGAAAAAGTCTTTGTTGGCAAACTAACAACTTTATGATAAACATGATGACTTCAACTCTTCTACCATCAATTTCCCTTATTCACATATGGGGTATATGCTTCTCAGTTGATTCTATACACAAGAGCATATTCTGCGTGAGAACAATTTCTAAAATTGACAAATAAATTGATGATACAAGGGTCGCAAGAATCTTGTTTAAAGTCAACATTTTGCAAATTCTATGGTCGATACAATGACCTTGTTTGTAATCTTTCGTTAGTTCGAATGTAGACTAACGTCTTTCATAAGAATTGTTAGATCATTTTTATATTGAATTGTCTACGGATCTTTTCCATTTATCCGATAATGAAGAGGGGCGGTTGTGATCGGTGGACACTCCTCCATGGCACCTGATCCCACCTCTGAAGTTTCCAGAGATCCATGTTTGCTCTGCTCTCCATTTGTATCGTTTAAGTGAACTTTTGAGCATGCTTACTGTTCGTTATCTTCACGTTTTATCGAAGCAAAACTTAAAGATCGATTCTACAGAATCATATTTCAGTCTTTAAAACTTTTAACATTACAGTCAACGAAAATGAGTAAGCTCTACCCTTACTTGCTATACTGGATTTATAACAATCTTAACACAGATGCATTTCCTGGTCCTGCAACTGCTCTACGAAGGCCGTATCTTTACTCCTCACTAAATCATTAACTGCTGTAAAGGAGAAACCACAGACATACTGTGCAACTGCATATTCGAGAAGCGGTGTAAATCAAATTCTGAAGAACTCCAAAGTTTATATTCACACAATTGTTCAAAAATCAGTAACATCAAAACGTATGACTTTTCTACACTGATACAACCATTCCTCATGTTAAAATTAAAAATATAGGCTTTTTGTTATCATAGACAACTGCTTCTTTAAGAAAAATAGAACTCGCAAATTTTTATGTCAATGCAAAATAACTTTGTTAAAAATCACTCTGTTTCTACACATAAGTGCTCTGAGGATGATATTAAATTGATGCTGGTGTTCCTCATTGACAACATCTATGTAGGTTTTGGAGACTAGGTCTTCAAACAATCTGTAGGTATTACGATGATAACTAATTGTGCTTCTTTATTAGCCGACCTGTTTTTATTTTTCTATGAAGCAGAATTGATTCAAACTCTTCTACATGAGAAGAAAACTTGCTATGGCCTTCAACTAGACATTCAGATAAATCGACGACGTTTTATCAAATAACAATAGTTATACCTACTTTCTTATGAAGACTCAATATTTTCATGTGAACTTGAAATAAAAGACACCACAGAGTCTGCCAAATCTGTTTCATATTTGGATGTATTTCTAACTAGACGATAAGGGCCAGCCAACAGCTAAACTATATGGAAAACGAGATGACTTCAGCTTTTCTATCATCAACTTTCCTTATTAATGTATTAATAAGCCACTATATAACACCTGCATATGGTGTTTATGTCTTCAAACTTATTTGATTTGCAAGTGCATGCTCTCAGTACAATCATTTTTTAAAACTGAGGCAGGCTACTGACAAATACGTTGATGTTACAGGGATTTAAACAACCTAGTTTAAAGTCAGCATTTCGTAAATTCTATGGTTGTAATGTTATTACGACCTTGTTAGCTAACACATCCTTCATTTGATCTTATCTTGTATGACATATTTCATACCAATTGTTAGGCCTTTACGGGTTGTTCCCTCTACCTGATCAATACATAGGACTCACGGATGTGACCGGTCGACAGGGAATGCTTACCCATCTCACCTTTAGGCATCTAATCCCATCTCTGAAATTTCGGGGGGGGGGGGGTCCGGTTTTTGCCCCGTTCACAGATTTGTATTGTTATTATTTTCAGTCTGAAAATGGTGGCCTAACAATTTATATGAAAAACATCAGTTCTTACATAGAACAGGCTTTTGCGCAACTGGGAGAAAACTCCATACATGCTTCATATGAAATAAGGGAAGTTGACGATAGAAAAGTTGAAGTCATCACGTTTATCATAAAGTTTAGTTGTTATGCCCTGTTCAGACGAAGAGTTTAATTTGAATTAAACGTAAGCTACTGCGAATTAAATTTAAACCACCTTCTAATGAAAATTTAATGCGAATTAGCTTAACTCTAATTAATTTACCGTGCATCAATTGTTTTGCATTAACTCTGTGTAAACGCTATATAAGCAAAGCCAACTGGAATTAAAGGTTGATGCATGTGTGATAGCAAAATTAATCCACAAGTCACGTGTCTGTGGTCAGGAGCAAGTACTTATGCTATTTTTGAGTGAAAAACAACGGAAAATTAGGTTTATCACTAAAACTGTATACAGACACTATGCCATTATGTCAAATGTATATCTGCTCCGCATAAGGTGACGTGATTGTAAATCAAAATCTAATTCGATTGAGCTTCGCTTTGCATTCACACGGAATTAATGTGACGTAATTTGATATACAGTAAATTAATTCGAATTTGTATGCATTAATTTCTCCGTAACGAAGTTGAATCAGAAATTCAAGCATCTTTTAAATATCAACTTCGGAGTACCTGTGCGGAGAATCAGATTTTTGTTTTTCAAAATAAGTTTGCAGCATGACCAATGTCAAATTTAAAAAATATACAAGTTCCATTTATATTGAAAAATCAGTTGTCTATAATGTCAAAAAACTGGTGTGTAGAATCACAAAGTAACTTTGCAGAAGAGCAATGCCTAGGTGTATAAATTTACAGTTCCATTTTTTAGTGAAATAGTAGTTGTCTATAATGTCAAAAACCTTGTCTTTATTTATCGTGGGGAATAGTTTGTATAAAGGTGTACGTTTTGATGCTATTGATTTTGGTAAATTTTAGTGATTTCAATTATATTTTTAAAAAATATCCTTGGTATTTTAAATAACCACATCAGATTAATACCACTTGTCGAATATGTCGCCATTAATAATTACAAGGGGAAAAAGAACTTGAATACAGGTATTTACTGTGTCTTTTTTCTATAAGCATTTAGTCAACTTAATGAGCAGAAGTAACTGTGTGTTATTATAAAACAGAGATTTACCTACGCCAGCAAAATGACTCAAATTAAAAAAAAAGCATAAAATACAAAAATGATATATAAAGAAAGAGTTAGCAAAATAAAAAAAAATCAATATATAGTGGATAGAAAGCACATTGTTAGGTTCGTTTGTTCATCTAAAGCATTTTTTTTATGATACTGTATGAAAATTTTCTTTCATGATAAAGAGACAGATATAGAAAATAAAAAGATTAAGAGTACACTATTAAGAAAATTACATTTTAGAGTTATCTTCCTTCAATAATGCCCTGAAAAACTCCGACGCGTACCTCAGTCTATTCTGTCATAAGCGCTGATTACTGAGTAGCCAGCTCTAATACATAACACGGTCATGAATAAAACAAAAGTTAATCTTAAATTCATTTACTTGAATAAATAAAAATGATTCATAGTTGTAGTTGTTGATTCTAAAGTAACATATTTTTTATCACATATCACCGATAACTTAATATGTAAATAAACGAAGGGAACATTTTTGTAAAAGCATTTTTTATTATTAAGGAATAAGTTTGAACTGTTAAGTTATTGAATGAAATGTACGAAATGCACCACAATTAATATTAACATTAAACCAATACATCTGAATGTCTATGTCTGTTTCGTATCCCATCTCATTCAACGATCAACTATTATTTTAGGGTCTCATCTAAAAAGAAAATGCCCTCTTGTAAGAGCACACAAGAAAAGGAAGAATTGATTGATTGAATGTTGTGTTACGTCTCATTTTGGAATTTTTTCACTCATATAGAGACGTCAGATATCTTTCCTCCCCATCCAATCCCATCCCTCCACTTCTGCGTTTTCTTCACAATTTTTTTCTTTCCTCCCCCCTTTCCTCTTCTCTTTCCCCTTCCCCTTTTTTCTTACTTAAAAACATTATGTAATAGTGTGTGTTTGGATACGTATATCAAATACCGTATACTGTAGATTCCTAAATATACACGAGGAATAAATTATCGCTTAATTACGCGAGAAGCACCGCTCGCGAAATAAAATTACTCGCTTTTATTTTTATGGTGCTTTAATGTATGTAAAAACTCTAGATAAAACAACCATTCGCGAATTATTATTCTCGCGATTTGACACCCTTGGGTCATTTCGCGATAATAAGTACTCGCGTAAAATAAGGAATCTACAGTACTTAGGGAGGAAATGTGATTGTAAGATAATCGACAAATATCATTTAATAAACATGTTGCATCTGAAGACATCATTTATTTGAAAATATATATCATCGAAACTATCATAAGCACATGAAACCAGTATCCAAGCAAGTTTTAAAAATTCATCTGAATTCGAAAGAATTTGGATTCCTACTTTTCAAATAAACAGAATAAAACGTTAATAGTAAATTAGATTACCCCGGTAATCGTTTATATGTTGTTCAAAGTCCCATTCGAGAATTTTTCGCTCATATAGAAACAGAGGGACAAAGGGCTTCAAATAATAGACATACACAAACACAGTCAATACACACATTTGCTCCTGAAGTAGTCTACTTATCGAAACGTTAAGATCTTAGAATAAACTTCATTGACTCTAGCAACTTTAAGCTATTAGACTGTCCTTGAATAACCGTTGCTATTAGACCTGGCCTGGCGAAATGGGTAATTCTTCCAGCAACAAAAACACGCTTTGAGGAAATTCCTGAACTCTGTATTCAGAAACCCATATATCAGAGGATTAACTGCACTGTTTATTAGAAAGGAGCGAAGAAAAATTTGAAATGCTACCAGTTCCGATTTAGATAACAGGTTTGGTTCATAATCTTTTGATAATGTTCTCCATGTCATGAGGGACAAGTATGGTAAAAAGCTAATGATGAAAGCGACTGTAATTGATAACATGATAATAGTGTACTTCTTTGACTTTATACTGTGAACACTCATTTTTTCCTTATGTAAGTCTGCAGAGTGCTTTGCGTCTCCTGTTTCCTCTGTGCTTGGCATGTTCTTGGTTCCTTCTATCTTTTTGGAAAAATCTTTCGAAGGTTCCCGAACTTGAATAGAGTTTTCAGTTCTAGAAGATTCTTTTCGTGCAAAATCCGTATTACTTAGTTCCGACAAGGCAAAATTAGATCGTGGTGAAACAGACATTTTCTCTAATCGCAAAGCATTATGGGGACTGTCTTTAGGCAAATTACTTGATTTATCAGACATATTGGATTCATCAGTTTCACAAATTTTAGTCGTCTTTTTCTTCAACATGAATGCTATGGTCGTAGCTATTTTAGGTCGACTGCTTTCTCTACTAGGTGTCGGGACGACTTCTTCAAACTTAGACAATTCTAAGGAATTTGATTCAGCAAAGGATCCAAATCCACCTGTTTCTTCTGTACATTGCGTGGTGCTACTCTGCGGTGGCGCAGCAGACTTCCTTCTTTTTCGTTGTGCATAAAACCGAAAGTCTCGAAGGTTAAAAATTTGTTTACCAACGAGACAATAAAGAACGATCAGGGATGTAATGGCTATAATGAAAATAAGAAATAAAATTCCATTGTATAAAGTAATATAGAGTTTGTATGAATCGTTTCGCCTTGTGGTACAATCTTGACCCACTGCACCAGCAATATCTGTAAGATTAACTTGCACAACGGTATAAAAAACAAAACTTGGCCACGAAACACACAAGGACACAAAGAGAGCACATGATATAATTATCTTGGCCATTTTTATTGTTATCTGGGATTCAAATGGCTTGCAAATTTTTCGGTAACGATCAACAGCAATTGCAATGAGAATTAATCCACTTGATATAGCCATAAAGTAGTTCACGAATCTTAAAAGTCTGCAAGCTATGGCACTCTCAAATGTGTAAAATCGAACTAGATCAACGATTTCTAGTGGCATGGAAATAGCGCAAATGACAAAATCAAACATGGCTAAAGCCACGATAAACATATAAGATGGGGTCGTTTTCAATTTAAAACCATAAAAGTATACAATAATAGGGTTTCCGACAACACCGATGACCATGAGACTAACAACGTAGATAATGGCGGGAATGAGGGTCTCCACCGCCTCATCATTCAGTCTTTTGACATATTCACTGACATTAGTCATCCTGCAATTCTCAGTGCTATTAGTTTGTGTCACAAAAATATGATCCCGACATATATATGCGTCTTATGTCTTTAAACAAAATATTTCCCATCTTGACGATTTACAAGGAAACGTTCGTTAATTTTTTTCATATTTGTATATGATGAAAGGTAAAACAATAATAAGGAGTGGTTATGTTTTATATATTATTGCTCTGAAATGAATAGCCACTGGCTGTACTTATTGAAGACAGTCGAAGATTTATGCCTTCAAAGTAAATATTTCCCACTGCTTATCAATTACAAGGAAAACTTCCTTGACTTTTCATCTTTAGAAAATACAACAAAAAATAAACAATTCTTAAGGACCGGTTATTTTTCATTAATATCTATAAATCTGTGTTCTTACATAATATATCAATACTTATATGTCATTGAAACAAATTTTAGTTTCCTTGTTTAGTTCACTTCCAGGAAGTTGTGAAGAGCTTATGTTATGCCTCTGTCGTTTTTGTTCTAAGCTTAAGTTTTAGGAGCAATTCTATGAGCTCTACATGGACCACACTCACATTGATTATGCATCTGAATTGAATAAAATTAGACGTACTTCAGATGCTGACGTACATTTTCCAGATGAATGAACAGTTCAAAGTGTTGGGGGCAAGTCTCTTCCAAAACGATCATAATCATCAAACTGTATGGATGTTACATCTGAGGATGTACATTATCAAACTTGCTCTGGATGCTGCATCTAACTTACAGTTTTGGATGAAATAAGGAGGTAACGAACAGTATTCAAGCTCCTAGTCCATTAAAACAATACAAATCGTGAGCAGAGCAAACACGGACCAGCAAAAACATCAGAGGTTGGATGAGGTGCCATGGAGGAGTGAGCATCCCATGCCAACCGATCACACCCGCCATGTGCTCCTTATCATGATCGGTAAATTACGGGAAAATCCGTCGGTCGACAATTCAGTGTGTAAATAATGGCCTTACAATTAGTATGAAAAATATCAGTCAGCATGTAAATCATATACGGTACCAATGTTGATGCACCAGATGCGCATTTCGACAAATTATGTCTCCCCAGTATTGCTCAAGCCGAGACGTTGGAAATCCAAAATATTTAAATAAAAAGACTTTGTAGAGTTGAAAAAGGTGCCAAAGATTAACATATGACTAAATGATAAATTGTATTTGCTGACAAGGTCATTGTATCGACAATAGAACATACGAAATGATTAGTTTAAATGAGACTGTTGATATTCTTGTTTCATCAACTTGTTTGTTAGTAACTTATTTCGTTTTAGAAATTGTTCATACGTAGAACATGCTCTTGCATATAGAGTCATCTGAGAGATATATACCCCATATGTAGGTGATAAGGGTATATTGCTGCATAAGTAAGGGAAATTGACGATTAAAAAGTTAAAGTCATCACGTTTATCATAAAGCGTGGTTGGTAAATTACCATTAACGTTTTTTTCTAGTAAAATATCCAAATATGAAACAGATGTGTCAGACTCTGTGGTATCTTTTAGTTCAAGTTCACTGGTATATATCGTGTCGATATAATGATATGAATGGAAATAACTATTGTTGATAATACGTCGTCGATATATGTAAATGTCGAGTAGATGGCCACAGCAAGAGATTTCTTTTTCTCATGTATAAGTTTTTGAATAAATTCTGTTTCATATGAATACAAGGTCTGCTAACAACGGGGCACAATTGATACCCATGAGAATTCCAACAGATTGTTGGAAGACCTAGTCTCGAAAAATCACATAAATATTGTCAATCAGAAACTTAAGCATCTTTCTAATATCAACTTCAGAGTACTTTTGTGTAAATCAAAATGTTTCTTTAAAAAAAATAATTTTGCAAATGACCAATGACAAAGTAAGTAAATTTATAAGTTCCATCCCCACCGAAAAAGCAGCCGCCAACGACGCCAAAAAGCCCGGACTCCACCCCACCTTGGGGAATGGCCGCATACAGAGCCGAAAAGCCGCAAGGCTCCATGCCACTGATTTCGGTAAAATTCTGCGACTCCAAACCCCCCTAAATCCCCTTGGAACCCTCAAGCACCCACATCCGACCCACACACCTCCGCACAGCACCTCCAAACCTCACCCCCTACCGTGTCAACACCCCAGCGAGGAGCAAAGAAAGAGGCCCGGCGGAACACCCCCTCGCGGAACCCGCCATGCATCCCTGCCTGCAAGGACCTCCAAGAAGGCTCGGAACCCAACACAAACACGGCAACCCAAACCCACCCTGGCCGCAGGGAACACCAAAAACACCAAAAACCGACATACAACCCCCGAAGAATCCCCCCTCCACGAAAGGGAGCCATGGGCACAAGGCGGATCGCCATCCGCAGAACCCAACCCAAATACATCTAAAATACAACCAAAACAACGAACCCCACAAACAGAGACAATGCTGTCATCCGCTCCACCAGCCGGAACCAGCACACACCGACCATGCAGTCCATTCAATTCCTTTTTCACTTCTGAATTATTGAACACGGAAGGACAGATGTCTTCCACACTGCCCACCATTCGCTCAACGCGAGACTCCAACACATACCCGACACACCCAACCCACTCAGACAAAGCGCCAAGGTCCCTCCTCCCACATCCGGCTCACCGCCCGGCGCAGCCTGCACAGAACCCACAATGAATAGGTTACAATTTTGGACAAGGTACATTCCAAACTTGCTTTAAACACCACTTAAAACAAACTTCCATGGATGAAGCATCCAGAGTTGCAAACGGCCAGATATGCATTGAATACTTATCTAACATTCGGATGATGATATATAAAGGTTTGTGAAGGGGGTCCATCCTCAAGTTACAATAAAAATTAGGCCAGTGACAATAGGCCCTATCATTTCCAAATTGCATGGATTATGTAACTTAGTGCCTTAGTAACTATATATGAGCCCTACCCAGAGTAAACTTGCATGAATGATGCATCTAGGGATGTACATTACCAGATGTGCTGCATCTGAGGTATTTGTTTCGAATGGGATCAGGTCAAAGGTTAAAAGGTAACTAAGAGTAATAAAGCTATGGAAGCAACACCCCCTGACTTCCTTCGAAAGATGAAGTTGATCAACATGTTTATTTCAGTGATAAGTGGAAAAATTTAACTTTTTACGAGCAGGTTTATTCCTTAGTAAGAATACATCACCAATTAACCAAACTATATTTTGGATGATTAATCTAGTAATATATACTTACCGCCTTGTTTAAGTTGATTAAGGGATATGAATTTTAGTTTTGTATTGATTGGCTTACAATATCCATGTTTTATAATGAATTTCTTTGTAGTGTATGGATAGTCGTAGAGGTAAATTTTAGAATCTGTCATTATCTATGTTTCGAATACAAATGCATCAAGTATATTGAAGAAAAGACCTAATCCGAAATTCTGGTATTAAAAAATGGCCAAGCTATTTAAAACAAGGGTTAAATCATTAAATCTTTTTAAAACAGTTTCATTTCACAAATCTGTTTTATTTTTAACCCAACGATAAGTTGTATTTGCAAAAAAGATCATAATAACGAGCATAGAATTTATGAAATGTAACATCGTATTTGTCAGTAGTCTGCTTCGGTTCAAGAATCGCGGTTATATTGACAAACAAGTTGATGAAACAAGAATATCACCAGTCTCGTTTAGAGTCGTCATTTCGTAAGTTCTATGGTCGATACAATGACCTTGTCGGCAAAACAATTTATCATTAAATCAAATGCTGACTGACGTTTTTCATACTAATTGTTAGGTCATTATTTACACACTGAATTGTCGACGGAAGGTGCAAACGGCGGGTGTGACCGGTATGCAGGGGATGCTCACTCCTCCATGGCATCTGATCCCACCTCTGACGTTTTAGGGGTCCGTGTTTGCTCTGCTCCGAAATTTGCATTGTTTAATGGACCCCTGAGCTCGAATATTGTTCGTTATCTTCATACATTTCATTATACTCAGGGCATGCTTTTGAGTATCGAATAAGTGAAGAAATAAAGATGTCCAAATAAAGAAGTCATCTCGCTTGTCATACAGTTTAGATGTTAGTTGGCCCTTATCGTCCAGAGTCAATAAAACATCTAATTAATCTGTGGTGTCTTGTATTTCGAGTTCGCTGGGATATATCGAGTTAATATATGAAGTAACTGTTGTTTAAAAAAAACGTCGTCGATAAATCTGAATGTCGAGTTGAAGGCCACAGAAGTGCTATCTTCTTTAATTTATTTAATTTAATTCTATTTAATTTAATTCTACAAGTGGTAATCCAACTTATACTCGTAGTTCCCTTTCTAAAGAAGAAATTCTTCAAAATCATATGTCAGTTTTGAATATTTTTAATATTCCAAACAATAAAAATGAATTTGAATTAACATATTTATATTGGATTCCGAAACTTCATAAAAATCCTTACAAAAAAAGATACATACATGAAGCGGGTTCCAGTAAGTGTTCAACCAATCCTCGCTAAGATATTAACAGTGGTGAAGGAGAAACTTCAAGACTACTGTGCAACAATATATTCGAGAAGTGGTGTAAATCAGATTTGGATACTTAAAAATTCCAAGGAACTTTTGGAAAATTTGAAATCACAAGATTTTACCAAAATCAACAGCTTAAAAACTTAAGACTTTTCTACTTTATACACAACCATTCCCCACGATAAATTAAAGTCCAGGCTTTTTGATATAATTGACAGCTGCTTTTTCAATAAAAATGGAACTAGTAAACATACTTACCTTGTCATTGGTCATTTGCAAAATTATTTTGTTAAAAATCATTCTGATTGTACACACAAGTACTCTGAAGTTGACATTAAAAAGATGTTTGAGTTTCTGATTGACAATATCTATGTGGTTTTTGGAGACCAGGAATTCCCATGGAGACCAGGAATGCCCCGTTATTATTAGCAGTCCTTTTTTGTATTCATATGAAGCAGAATTTGTCCAAAATCTTGTACGTGAAAAGAAGAAAACACTTGCTGTGGCCTTCAACCCGACATTTAGATATATCGACGATGTATTGTCAATTAACAATGGTTATTTCCTTTCTTATGTCGATACGATATATCCTGGTGAGCTTGATATAAAAGATACCACAGAGTCTGACACATCTGTTTCAGATTTGGATATTTTACTTGAAAAAGACGTTAATAGTAATCTAACAACCAAGCTTTATGATAAACGTGATGACTTTAACTTTTCAATCGTCAACTTCCCTTACTTATGCAGCAATATACCTTCATCACCTGCATACGGGGTATATATCTCTCAGTTGATTCGATACGCAAGAGCATGCTCTGCGTATGTACAATTTCTAAAACGAGGTAAATTATTGACAAACAAGTTGATGAAACAAGAATATCAGCTGTCTCGTTTAAAGTCATCATTTCGTAAGTTCTATGGTCGATACAATGACCTTGTCAGCAAATACAATTTATCATTGAGTCGAATGCTGACTGACGTTTTTCATACTAATTGTTAGGCCATTATTTACACACTGAATTGTCGACAGATTTTTCCTTTGTTTCCCGATCGTGGCAGAGAGCGCACGGCGGGTGTGGCCGGTCGGCGGTCGGCGGTCGGCGGGGGATGCTCACTCCTCCATGGCACCTGGTCCCACCTCTGATGTTTGGAGGTCCGTGTTTGCTCTGCTCCTATTTTGTGTTGTTTGATGGACTTTTGACTTTAGTGCTGTTCGTTATCTCCATATATTTCACTTCTTCTCACGTAGAAGTTTGTGAAAAAAGATACTTCAAAGTAATATAAAAACAGGTCGGCTAATATTTAATTAAAGGGCGCAATAAGTGCCCATCTGAATTCTAACAGTTTGTTGGAAGACCTGGTCTCCATAGACTGCCACACTCTGCACACATCTTTCCTACATACTTTGCATTAAATTGATTTATGGTCATTTTTTTAAACATCAAGGTTATGAATTTGTCGCGATTGAACAAGAAAATGCGTCATGTTCAATCAGCCGCATTAACTAGAAAAATAAGCGAGGGTTCCCTCAGGAAAAATCCTGTTATTGAAATGGTGGAAATGTCATGCAGGTGGACTGCTGATTAAAGGGTACATCAATTGTAGGAATAGCTCCTCCAACAGTTTTCTAGATGATAAGTTTTTTTTTATTTTACAGATCAATTGTACATATATCAGATCTGTGCTTTTATTTCAATTTCGATTTTTCATTATTTATGAGAAAAATTTCAGATGTCGAACTTAGTCTCTTTTTTTGCAAAATATTGCATGGGATTACTTCAGCTTTTCCATCAACTTCCCTTATATAGTAGTAATATTCCAACATCACCTGCTATGGTGTTTATGTCACTCAACTAATTCGAACCTCTGAGTACGATCAATTTTTAAACCGAACAATCTACTGACAAACAAGTTGAAGTTACAAATATTTCAACAGTCCCGTTTTAAATAAGCTTTCCGCAAATTCTACGGTCGTCAAAACGACCTTGTTTGTAAATACAACCTATCGTAGGGTCGTATTTTGCCTGACAATGTTTGATACTTTGTTAGGTCATGGCATTTATACTAAATTTGACTACGGAGTACTCCGTGTAGCTGATCAATACACAAGACTGACGGTGAGTGTGACCGGTCAATAGGGGATGCTTACTTCTAGGTACCCGATCCCACCTCTAGTGTTTCCAGGGGTCTGTGCTTTTGCCCTGTTCACGATTCCTTATGTTTTCCGGATTTATGAGGTTGATCACTGTTATCCTCACATTCCACGTGTAGATTACTTCATTTGTCTGTACAGCTTGCTCTTATAGTTTTCAAAATCGGAACTTTTTTTTCAGATCCATTGTACATATATTAAAAATGTGCTTATTACTTGAATATTTATTTTTAATTATTTATGAGAAAAATAACAGCTGCTGAACTTCGTTTCTATGCAAAATATAATGGGGCACAGTGATTTTGTTGGGATGTCACCGACTACAGTTTTCAGAATCGAAAGTTTTTATAATTCATGAGAGAAATACTAGTACTAGTAATTTTCACACAAATGAAAATTCCGTTTGCTGTCACATGAACAGCTTTTCCCCTGTTTTATTTATTATACAATACTTACATTTGCTTAACTGTTTTTTTTCATTAATTTGATTAAACAAGGTAAATACATTTTAATGACTTTATACTTTTTAATAACTCAAACATCGATCATTTTTGTTTAAACGATTTTGTTCATGATTTGAATAGATCTCGTATAGATCTCGTATAGCAAATGTTGTGATCATTGTAGCTGTTGAGCCTAATATTTTGGCTAGCACAATTTTTTTTTTTCTGTCAATTTTTATATCGTCTTTATTTAGACAGAGGAAAATACTCTGTACGCGGATTTTTATGTATATTTGTGATTCTGATTACAATATAATTTAATTTTGTTTGTATTCTAGCCTCTGATTGGTTAATATCCAAAAAGGAACACAAATTATTTCTGTATAACCTGGTTTGGTATGGGGACACACCCCCCTGACAACCAGCTGAATCATCTGTATCCATACAATCCTCTCATTTCTAGTCCTCGGGATTCATGGAAAATTCCATATTAAATAAATGTACCTTTAAATTCAAACAATAATTCGATCTTACCACATGTAACCAAACAACATGGCTGCTATGCCTATGTATCAGTTTTTACCTCCCCTCGCTTCCCATCACTTCCGTTACTTCCGTTACTATGGTTGTATTATTGAGCGGCAAATTTGAACTAACAAAAAGTAACGAAATTTTACACCCATAGTTATTTAATGATTTTAAAATTAAATTATAAGGAATGACTCTAATTCTTGGCCAAATTATTCGAGTATAACCTGGTTTGGGTCAGTTTACGCTGTTTTATAATCCGCTTCGCGGATTATAAAGCGTAAACTGACCCAAACCAGGTTATACTCGAATAATTTGGCCAAGAATTAGAGTCATTCCTAATATAATTATTCAAAACTTCTCAAGAGGAAAAGAAAATAGATAACACTACGATTTTGGGAGACACCCCTTATCATTGTTAATTGATAATACGTCGTCTCTATATAAAAATGTCGAGTTGAAGGCCACTCTTCTTCTCAATATAAGTTTTACGTTTGTTTCATATGAATATAAAATAGGTCTACTATTCCTTCGTGTAGTACCATCACCTACTAATGCTTCTTTATTTCTTTAACTTTAGGAATAAGAGATAGCATAAACAGATATTATTCTTTGCCATTTATAAAATTATCATTCGAAGATGCCGATGGTTATATAATGAAAATATTATTAGTCATAATAGTTTGTAATTCATTATGAAAATTATCACCTATTATCACTTCAACCACTCTGTAGAAAGGAATGATCATCTAAATACCTTTCATTTTTAGCAATAGTTACTTAAATTGCAACGTTGTACCTCTTCTAATATGCCTACATCTAGCACTAGCCTGGTTATGGTTTTACGATTATCTTCACTTGTCGTGTTATTCTTCAGTTTGGCCTTATATTAGCGGGTTTATCAAGGGGTTGCTAAAAGGACCTTGAAATATTCAGCCCATCTACTATCTTGGCTTCGTTCTTTTCATTTACTTATTTAGTAGTCTGTAAACCCATTTTCCATTTATTTATTTTTTAGTTAGACTTTTTGGAGATATTTTTGCTGGGGGGGGGGGGGGGGGCTGAGACTGCCGTTGAACGGAATGTAATTTGATTGCAAGGAAATATTAAGCTTTATCTTTTTTCCTTTAAGTGAGTAGTTTATCGATTAAGATTTATGTTTGTTATAGAATTTTCAATATGAAGTATTAAAAGACAGTATATTAAGTATTTCATGTATGGAATCCAAAACTATCAATTTTTTTAAACATACCTATACACAAAAAACCTGAGTACTTTATAAGATTCTAGAAAAATTTAACAAACAATTCGGAAAAGTGCTTATAAGATGTGTACCTTTATTTCCACATTAGAGTGCAATACATAATATTACAAGGCGTGCATGGTTATTGACCATCACGTACAATAAACATATGGGGTGAATCACAGTGCATTGATCGTGAAGATGAATAACAATAATTGTTTTCGTTTCAATTTTGGAAACTTTACAAGGAAAAAACCCGAGAAACTTTAAAAAAGAATTGTTATTATAGCGAAATACCTAGGCGCCTAATGCAATAAGCATTGTTGTAAAGTCTATGTTCTTGTCCTCAAAGACTTTTTCGAAAAATGAAGGGTATCTTTATTTTATATTAGATCTTTCAATCCTCACCATGCAAAAAAGGACACCTGAAAGAAGTTTCCAATAAAGGTGACAGGTGCTACATCAGAATATTGTATTGATCAAGTTTTTTTCTTTTATTGTACGAAATATCATTACTCATTTAAGTCAGTGATATGCCTTAACATAAATTCTGATTAATGGGGTCTCCATGCAGAAATACTTGAATTTGAAAATTGCATTAGGTAAACAAATGACGGTTATATTTACAATTTGGATTATTAATTTTGCATACAAAAATATACTGAAAATAAGTCATCCTTCAATTTACTCAATGTTTGCAAATCGTTTGTAGACGGGAGGGGAGTTAACTCTCAAATTAGCTTGGACCTTTGCTGTTTATTAACAAATTGTGCTTCTTAGTAACATTTTTTTGACTTCTTAACTCCTCGTCTGTAGGATCATGAATGAGGATTGTTCATGCAATTGTGATGTAAAAATTGTATAATAATCAATATAAAATCATGTTTTCAATCATAGGTATTATTTAATGAGAAAAATGAACTCTTAATTTATGGCAAGAAAACAACAACAATTAAAACGGTCAATATTTGATTGAATGAAAATCACACTGTATTACTTTACAATTTTTTATAATAATATAGTTCATATAACATGTTTTTCTCAATTTCTATGAAGTGAATTTTTAAAAGGAATTTTACTCATAAAATATCGTTTTAAATATTTTCTGACATTACAAATTAAAAGAGACCTATTTGAGAACTTCAGTTCGGATTAGGAAACATATATTTCTATCACACACAAAGTTTATTTACAAAATTATTTAAACATCTTTAAAATGTTTCCAATATTTTCATGAATAATTTACAACATTTTTCATGATAAAAGAATTCACTGTATAGAATTTTAGAGACTTCAGAGACAAATAATTATCACAAAGACCTTTAGTGACCACTATTTTTACGACGAGGACTTCCATGATATCTATTTTTACGTCTAGCCCAACAACAAAAACATGCAAAGATAAAATGCCTAAATTCAGTATTCAGAAACCCATATATCAATGGATTTACTGCATTATTGATCAAAAATGATCGCAAAAAAATTTGAAATGCCACCAGTTCCGATTTTGAAAGCAGGTTTGGTTCATAGCCTTTTGCTACTGTTCTCCACGTTACAAGACATAAGTATGGTAAGAAACTTATGACGTAAGCAACAGTAATTGACAGCATGATAACCGTGTACTGTCTTGTCTTAATGCTGTGAGTACTCATTTTCTTCTGGTCTACAATTTTGATGGATTTTGCTTCATTAATTTCACCTTTACGTTTGGACCCATCCTCCTCTGGTGATGATTGTACTTGATTTTGTCCCAACATTGTTTTTGTTTTGATAGATTCATCTCTTGTATTAATGCCATTTGTTGAGGTTTGATCGGATAAAGCCGCATTGGATCGAGATGGAACCAATAATACATTCAATTCTAAAGGGTAATTAACAGTCCCAGAATTTCCTCCTCCATTGAAAGGATTCGAGGTATCGATTTTAATGTCCTCTGGTGATGTCACCAGTTTTTTCGTCATTAATTCCAAAGTTGCACCTACAATGGATCGACCACTATCCCTTCTGTTTGGCGTGGAAAGGTCATCCAAATTAGGATTTTTTGTGAAACTTGAACTCATCTTAGATCCAAGACCATCTGTTTCTTCTGTATTTTGCAAGGTGCTACTTTGAGGTTGCGCGGTAGAAATTTTTCTCTTCCGTTGCGCATAAAATCGAAAGCTTCGGAGTTTGAAAATCTTTTTTCCAACCCGGCAATACAGTGCGATTAAAGAGGTGTTGCATATAATGAAGATCAGAAATAAAATCCCATTGTATATAGCTATATAGAATTTGTAAGAATCGTCTCGCTTCGTTGTACAGTCTTGCCCCACTGCCCCATCAATTTCTGTAAGATTGACTTGCACAACGGTATAAAACAGAAGACTGGGCCATGAAATACATAAAGACGCAAAAAGAACACATGATATTATAATCTTTGCCATTTTAAAGCTTAACTGGGATTCAAAAGGCTTGCAAATTTTTCTATAACGATCCACTGCAATGGCAAGAAGAATCAGCCCACTTGATATAGCCATGAAATAGTTAACGAATCGCAAAACTTTGCATGCTGCGGCATTTTCAAAAGTGTAGAATCGAATCAGATCAACAAGTTCCATAGGCATGGAAACCACACAAGCAATAAAATCAAATACCGCTAACGCCACAATAAACATGTAGGAGGGAGTCGGTCTCAATTTGAAACCATAAAAGTAGACAATAGCTGGATTTCCGACAAAGCCAACGACCATAAGGATGGCGACGAAAATGATCGCCGGAATAATTGTTTGCACGGCTTCATCGTTTAGTCTTCTGACGTCATCACTAAAATTATTCATCCTCTTCTGCTCAGAGTTTCCGGTTTAAATTCCTACAAGATAACAAATTATTACGTATTGTAAATTGCATTCACAATAAATGATTTCAATTTAATTGGATGAGTGAAGATATTTTCCATTGCAACACTATCGGCCTGAACAATCAAAATTATACAAAAGTATGTATTGCATGTGCGAAATTTCCCTCTTCCCCAGTCAAACCTCTGATTTCCTCAATGTACATATTCCTAACGACCAGTCCTTGAATCAGCACAAGAATGTATTGTTAACAATTTATCAGGGATAGGATACATTTTAGTCGATAGTTCAGACTTAATAACTATAGAAGATTTATATAATTTTCAACATCTTGTTAATTGAAGTTTGTCGCCCGCGTGGCCCAGTGGTTAGAGCGTCTGCTCTAGAGTCGCGAAGTAAGGAGTTGATCCTTACGTCGCGGAGTCGAATCCCACTGTGGGACGTGGAGACCGGTCCTTCGGATGAGACCGTATAAACCGAGGTCCCATGTCGCAGTAGGTGCTGGCACGAAAAAGATCCCTCACTGCTCAATGGCCGTAAGTGCCGAGTATAGGACAAAATTTGCAGCTCTCTACCGGCAAGTGGTGGCGTCTCCATATGAGTGAAAAATTCTCGAGTGGGACGTTAAACAATATACAAACAAACAAATAATTTAAGTTTTGAGGGATGATCTTGAATGTAAAAATACATATTTAGGTCATAAACAACAACAGAATTACGTTTGAATTCAATCATGGTAAAGATTCCAGAAAATTATTTATGTCATGCATAAAGTATGCACCTTCAATCAATTAAGTATGACCTTCAATCAAGATCATACTTGAGTATGATCTTCAATCAAGATCAGGTTACACCTTTTAGTCACATTATATCATCAGCAAAAATATATTTAAGTTTAAATGAACTCCATTCAATGGGTTATAAAAGTCAATACTAATTACCAGTTATCTTGACCTCTGACATTGAGTGAGCATCATGACAGACTTATGTCCTCTTCAAGTCAGATTCCATTCTAATCAATAGTCTCTGGGTTATAACTCGGACATTTTCAGTAATTACTTTGAACTTTGAGATAAAAAAAAGCACATTTAAAGTTCATAAACAACAACATACATGTATAAAACCCTGAATCCATTCTAGTCAAGGGTTCGATAGGTATGACCTGCACATGATTTGTGAGGAACAGATAGAAAAACAGCTAGGACTGCCAAACATACAGACACTTACACAAAAACTAAAATGACATCAATTGTGATAGGAAAAATCTCGATGTTTTCATTTTTACAGTCATGTCGGGAATTTTAAAAAGTCTGCTTTAACCATTTGTAAACATGTGTTGTTTTGCGCGAAAAACATAAATTGTTTGTAATGATAAAAGGAAGATAAAGTCGTTATGGACTTCATATTTATCAAAACAAATACATGTTATTGAAATGGAATGATATTGTCTGATATTCTTCAATATGCAAACCACTTTGAGGTACATGTTTAGCATGCCTTTCCACTATAACAATGAAAATATGAATTAAAATCTCACCTCGATGTAAATTTTTGGTTTCAAGTTACCCAAAATGCTAGTACTTAGAGTTGTCAAGGAAAATAAAACGTTTTTAGGGGGAGAGGGAAGGGGGTTATGTATGATAAAACAAAAACAAGAAAGTTTCCATCTTTTTCTGTAAATCTTGTTTCCTACAGATCTTTATAATTGATTCTGGTACTATGTGCCAGTCACCTCAGAGGTAAAAATATATGCATTTTATTTAGTTAAGGGTATTGTTCAGTCTTCAGTCTATATTTGTCTGACTTGATTGTTTGTGACAGGAAGGTTAACTCAGTTGGAAAACCTTTTTACCCTATACCGCTTTTCCCCAAACTTAAAAGCTGTGTATTTTTGTAAATAATTCTCATCTATAAAGATTTATATGACACATTTTGGTTACAAGCAACAACAATAAGTTTTAAGTTAATCATTTTTATAATCCTATGTAAAAGTTATAACAATCCTCTAGTAAAGCTTAAATATTATTCCAGTTAAAACTTCTGTAATAAGTACGAAATTTATAGGCTAACAGTTACTGTTAATTTAATTAAGTTGAATAATAGCAATTGGTACGGTTTAAGAGATATTAAGTTAAATTTTAGTTTATTTAAAATCGTAAATAAAAATATGAACTGTCTACAGTGATATGACAAAACATATACAACTTTAACCTTACGTCATTGTTTCTCAGCAAAACTTTTTCATCTTTTTTAAGCAATTTTCTGTATTTAGTGATGTGGCTTTAAGATTTAGTCTTTTTGGAATTGTGCAGTGTATGTTAATTTATTATTTTTGGAATCGTGCCACAGTTTTTATTTTTATTTTATTTTACTTTTGTTTATAAAAGTATTATAAGACAGGACAAAATGCTCAGACCTTTAATTATGAAACCATCTTGAAATTTAATTTTAATTAGCAAAACATTTTCGATGATGTTAATGTCTGATAACTGAGACAGCCTGTCTAAACAATCTAAATTATTTCTATTTTTCCAGACAATTCTTTATTGTGAAGCATGAGGGAAATGGGGGGGGGGGGGGGCAATGTAATCCTGGAGCACAGATGGGGAATGTTACCAAAATATTTTGCGATGATAGGCCATAAATAATTAAGAATCTTAATAATCCGAGAGTTCACAATTCCAGTTATTGGCTTCTGGTTTTGTCACACATCCCCAAAACCATCAGACACATCCTTCCTGGATTGGAGCTCTATTTCACATTTTTCTAACTATTATATTTCTTCACAGGCAAAAAAAATTTAATTTTTTTTGCCTTGCATGTAGATACAAATCATTGTCAATTTTTCTTTGACATTTCTTGTCGTGTACCCACCATTGCTTACAATGACAACACTAGAGAATTAAAACTTAATAATACTGGTCCTTTGTAACATTTGACAATATCATAACTTTCCAAAGTCATCTAATTTCGTGTTTAATATGCAGAGGATATTTTTATTATTTGTATTATAGCACATTTGTAAGAGCCACCCAGAGAATTGGTCACAAACAAAGATAACGTGCGGCCATATGGATATATTTTTACTTCACCTGATTTCTTAGAAATCATTTGCTACATCTTTCAATGAAATATATGGAGATAACGAACAGTATTCAAGCTCAAAAGTCCATTAAACAATACAAAATAGGAGCAGAGCAAACACGGACCTCCAAAACATCAGAGGTGTGATCAGGTGCCATGGAGGAGTGAGCATCCCCTGCCGACCGATCACACCCGCCGTGTGCTCCTTGTCATAATCGGGAAACAACGGGAAAATCCGTCGACAATTCAGTGTGTAAATGATGACCTAGCAATTAGTATGAAAAACGTCAGTCAGCATTTGACTCAATGATAAATTGTATTTGCAGACAAGATCATTTTATCGACCATAAAACTTACGAAATGATGACATTAATCGAGACTGCTGATATTCTTGTTTCATCAACTTGTTTGTCAATAACTTACCTCGTTTTAGAAATTGTACATACGTAGAGCATGCTCTTGCGTATCAAATCAACTGAGATATATAAACCTCGTAGGCAGGTGATGAAGGTATATTGCTGCATAAAAAAGGGAAGTTGACGATTGAAAAGTAAAAGTCATCACGTTTATCATAAAGCTTGGTTGTTAGATTACCATTAACGTCTTTTTCAAGTAAAATATCCAAATATGAAACAGATGTGTCAGACAAATGAACAAAAATATTTAAAGAATAAAGCAAACGATAACAAGTATATGACTGAATGTACCAAATATCACTATATATACATCTATCTGGGTATCATGCAATGATTTGTTTTCTTGTCTTTATAATAATACAAGGAAACAAAAAATATTTTTAGAAAAAAAAATCATTGACAATCATGAGCAATATATTTGGTCTTAAAGGACCAGTTTTATCCATTGTTCATAGCAGATAAATTTGCAAAAAAAGGAGATAACAAAATAATGACTATCATTGAAAGCTTTTCAACGTTCTAATTTAAACACCAATATATTTGCACGAATGACCCACTGATAAGGGCTTGTTTACCTGTTTCTGTAATAATACTAAAAAACATCAATGTATCCATCCTCATGATGTCTTTTTAAAGGAAAAACCCAAATCCCCTATTGTCCCCATTGTTAGAGATTTAGTATTGTTAATCACGATTGAAAAATTTTGATCTCATCGTATTAAAATCTCGTGGCGTGTGCTTCTCTATTTGTAATCTCTTGTTAATCAGTTTTCGTTTATATTATATCAATGTCAACGCACTTCTGAAACATGACGCAGAGGTACATGAAGAATTTTTATATCTAATACTCTTTGTCGAATATCTAGTATGTTTAAATTTTTATAAATCTACATAGTCTGAGCTGTACATTAAATAAGTTGTTACTTTTGAATAAGAATGGCCGTAACAAAGAGCATCAGAAGATATAGTGCTTGTTAGGAAAGTTAGAAATGAAATAGACTCTGAGAGTACATGAAACTTGTATGTCAAAACACAACTGCAATTTGAATTTTACAAGTTCCTTTAGGGAATTTGAATACAAAACAATGGAAACATAATTTAATTCCAAAAAAAAACAAAAAACAAAAACAAAAATATTTTTTAAGAATGAACATTTGATTTAAAAAGACGTGCAGATAAGTCATGGTGATCTGTAACGGCCGTTCATGTTGATCTGGAATAGTCGCTCATGATGATCTGGAATGGCCGATCATGATGATCTGGAATGGCCGATCATGCTGATCTGGAATGACCGATCATGGTGATCTGGAATGGCCGATCATGGTGATCTGGAATGGCCGATCATGGTGATCTGGAATGGTCACTCATGATGATTTGAAAAGGTTGCTCATTATGATCTGGAATGGCCGATCATGATGACCTGGAATAGCCGATCATGGTGATCTGGAATGGCCGATCATGGTGATCTGGAATGGCCGATCATGATGATCTGGAATGGTCACTCATGATGATCTGGAATGGCCGATCATGGTGATCTGTAATGGCCGATTATGGTGATCTGTAATGGCCGATCATGGTTATCTAGAATGGTCGCTGATGATGATATGGAATTGTCGATCATGATGATACGGAATTGTCGATCATGATGATCTGTTACGGCTGCTTATGATGATCTGGAACGGCTTCTTAATTATGATGACATGGAGTTGCATCTCATGCTGATCTGGAATAACCGCTCATGATAGCTTTAAGTGGCCTCTCATGATGACCTTCGAATGACCACTCATGATGACCTGGTATAGCCGCTCATAAGGACCTTATTTTAAGTGGCCTCTCATGATGACCTGGAATGGCCACTGTTTTCAGATCTGGGCTGAGGAGGACCAATATACTCACGACAACAAACACACGCTATGACAAAATTCCTAAACTCTGTATTCAGAAATCCATATATCAGTGGATTAACTGCACTGTTTATTAGAAATGACCGAATAAAAATTTGAAATGCCACCAGTTCTGATTTGGAAAACAGGTTTGGTTCATACTCCTTGGATAAAGTTCTCCATGTCATGAGAGCCAAGTATGGTAAAAAGCTCACGATGAAAGCGACTGTAATTGATAACATGATAATAGTGTACTTCTTAGTGTTAATGTTTTGAGCACTGGTTTTCTTCTGGTCTATATCTGCATTGCCGTTTGCGTCTCTAGTTTCTACTGTGCTAGCTATGCTTTGGTCTCCTTCTTCTACAAAGGAAACTCTCGAGGATTCTCGAACTTGAATTTGTCGCAACAAATTGCTTGTTCGAGCAGATCCATTTCGGATATTATTTGTAGAATGTATGCCAGTTCGTTCCGACAAGGCAGAATTGGATCGAGGTGGAACAGATACTTTATCCGACTTTAAAGCGTTATGAAGACTTCTAGAAATGCGAAGGTTGCCAGCAGATGCTTGTCCTGATCCATTGGAAAGCCTCGATTCAGATCGTTCAAAGTCTTCTGGTGAGGGCGCCACTTTTCCCGTCGTGAATGCGATCGCTGTAGCTGTTGTCGGTCGACTACTTCCCCTACTAGGTGGCAAGGTGACTTCATCAAACTTGGCAATTTCTGAGGAATCCGAATCCCTGAAAGATCCAAATCCTCCAGTTTCTTCGGTGTATTGCGTGGTGCCACTCTGGGGTCTCGTTGAAGATCGTGTTCTTTTCCGTTGTGCATAAAATCGAAAGCTTCTGAGGTTGAAGATTTGTTTTCCAACGAGACAATACAGAACTATCAGAGATGTAATAGCTATGATGAAGACCAAAAATAAAATCCCATTGTATAAAGTAATATAAAGTTTGTAGGAATCGTCTCGCCTTGTGGTACAATCCTGACCCACCGCTCCAGCAACTTCTGTTAGATTGACTTGCACAACGGTATAAAAAACGAAGCTTGGCCATGAAACACAAACCGACCCAAACAAAATACATGGTATGATAATCTTGGCCATTTTAATGGTTATCTGGGATTCAAAAGGCTTGCATATTTTTCGATAACGATCCACTGCAATGGCGATAAGAATCGACCCACTTGATATTGCCATGAGGTAGTTTACGAATCTCAGAAGTTTGCAGGTTACGGCACTTTCAAACGTGTAGAACCGAATTAAATCAACGAGTTCAAGAGGCATTGAAACGGCACAACCCACAAAATCAAATACTGCTAAAGCTACAATAAACATGTACGATGGGGTTGGTCTCAATTTGAAACCATAAAAGTAGACAATGGCTGGATTTCCGATGATGCCGATGATCATTAGGATAACAATGAAAACCACAGCAGGAATGAGGGTCTCCACAGCTTCATCGTTTAGTCGATTGACCACCTCGCTGAAATTATTCATTCTGTCTTTCTTGTTGTTAGTTATTGCTGTCACTACAAAAACATGAACCAATCATTACCTACTGAATACTTTTGAAGATTTATATCATCAAATTTCATATATCTAAAATCGCTTATAATAATCAAGGAAACTTTATTAAATTTATCCGAACTGTTATAGATTGAGCAAAAAAAAAATCTTAAGGAGTGTCTACTTTATCTCTTTATCTAAAAACAGTTATATTACGCAAATTTTTACACTAACCTATCAGGTTTTCCCCCTAATAAATATGCCTGTTCTCTTTCTTACTTCTTTAATTATCTTGACATTACCATATCTTACAATGCACTTTTCACTTTTCGCTCATTTTTTTTTATTTGGATAAGTGTCCTAGACTATTACACTTTTCTTCACGTTGCAGTAGTAAAGTATAATGTAGCATCGTGACCCAGAACTTAAAATGTGTTTGTTTAGATCACAATTTCGACAAAAGATGTAATTCATATAAACCTGAAAAGAATACGGATTAGATTCTGGGTGAAGGCGTTTTAAATCGACACACATCCTAGCGCTGTCTTTCTTTGGTCAGAAGATTATGAGTGCGGTAAAACTACTTATTTAAAATATTTAGTTTTAATACAATGTCCTTCAATCATTAAGTTGCCTTCAAACACCCAAAAAAGAGCTTGAACAATAAATTATCAATCTATACATGCTTAATATGTTTGCACGCTTTGTGTTGACTTAAGAATTTTAATTATAACAACTTAAAGCTTTTTAAGCATTATTTTCAACCTTTTTTAAAACTTATTCAAGTAAATGTCTACACGAAAACTGATAAAATCTCGAACCTAAATTACTTAAAACAAGTGTATTTTGCATATTATCTGAGGGAATGTAAACTAAACGGTTAAAAAAATTTTTCTAAGCTCGATATCTTAATTTCTGATTTATTTTTAAACATGCATAAGATGCAAATGACTTAAAAATCAAAACTCACCATTGTCGTCTCTCGTGTACAATCGTTCACAAAATAAAATAATTAACTATATTTTCTTCTCTAGCTCTCCTGCCACAAAAAGACACATAGAGGCCTCAGCGGGACTCTCCTATGCAGGAAGGTAAGAAATCGCCGTAGTATTACGAAGGTACAGCCGATTATGATCTCTAAACCTTTTAGCAATACACTCTTTAAACACAATACATTTTTTAAGAACCGGCAAAGATTGACACAGCTTAGAATGTAAGGCTGTGATTTAAGTTCCTATTTAATAACTGGGGGGAAAAAGATTAAACGTAGACCTACATTTCTTCATGATTGTGAATCAGTACTCGCAGATTAAATGTTTTCTTTACGATTATGACTATTTTGATTTAAAACCGGCGACGATCCGCCCACAACATTAATGTTTGTTTATATTCAGTAAAAACCCTGTCATAGACCAGAAAAAATGTGTATGCGTATTTTGCAGTGTGTTTAGCATTGCACTTAAGTGAAGAGAATCATTTTATGATTGTATAGATGTATAACAGACTTGGTGAAATCAGCAGTGACATTAGATGTAAGACAGAACTCCATAATTTAGAAGTTGTAAGCCGTCATGGAAGCCTAGTGGTAGGGCGTTCACTTCGTGATCGGGAGGCCCGTGTTCGATTCTCGTTCGCCGTACCGCGTCAAACCTAAGACAAAAAATGGTAGTGACTGTTCTTTTTCTTCGCAAAAGCCAGGCATTAAATGTGAAAGTCACAGGACTTTCGGATAAGACCTTAAAAACAGGTCCCATGTCACGGTTGACTTTGACTCGATAAAGAACCCTCAATGCCCAAAGACCCTGTGTGCCGAGTACAGGTGAAACCTTCAAAGATATATAGTGACGTCTCCGTATGATATATGGGACGTAAAATAACATACAATCAATCAGAAGTTGTAAAGACGAATAATGATCCCCACAGAAAAATAATTGGGGTTCATTTTTCGACGACATCAATGAAAAAGGTAAAGATGACGAACTGTGACGGATCTCAAGAAAACCTACAAAATAATACAAATCTGTAAACAGGCTAGGGAATAAAAGATAGATCCCCGGAAATTCCGCCGCGAGCCCTATGTATTTATCAGGTAGCAGGAACATTCCGTAGTCAAATTTAGTGCAAAAAACAAAGGCCTGACAACTGGATGAAACACGTCAGCCAAAATACGACCCAGTGGATAGGTTATATTTGCTAACAAGGGCATTGTAACGACCACAGAATTAACTAAATGCTTACTTTAGCGATAGAAAACGTAAATATTTTATTGTAAAAGAACCTAAAGGGTCAATTTTTACATGTGCAATATATACGAAATTGACCTCGATTAAAAAATACCTTAAATTCCAAAATTTTGAAATGGTTATTGATGCGTTTTCCTGATAAACATTGGATGGACATGCAATTAAAATGTGCTAAAACAGAATTACATGTGTTCCTATTTATTAGTCCTGTTGTGTTCTCAGCACACAACAAATATTGCACAATAGATACGTTTAATCTACCTTTATCATCTGTTTCATATTTGGATATTTTACTTATCAAAGACGTTTATGGCCGAATAACAACTAAACTATAGAAAAAATGGGATTAGTTCGGCCTTTCCATTGTCAACTTCTCCTTATTTATGTTGTAACATTCCACATTCATTTGCATATGGTGTTTATGTCTACCAATTTATTCGGTAAACTTTTAGACAGATACAAGATACTAGCAAAAAAGTTGATGTCACAGGGTTTTTTTAATAGCCTCGATGAAATCAGCATTTCAATAATTTCTTGAACGTTATTATGCCTTGTTAGCAAATACAATTATTTTTCAATATTTATGATGCTAGCTTATACATATTGTAATAATAGAATCTTTAAAAAGTAATAGTAACTTTAACAAATTTACAAAAATCCATAAAGGCCATAACTTTTCTGAATAAATTTGTACGGAATATAATGCAACAGTATAAGGCCGTTGAAGCCCAGACAAAAAAATATATATTGAAATTTGTTCTGACAATAAGATAATTGTTCAGGCAAAATTGTTCTTCGTTCGTCCGAACAAGACACTTGTGTGGACAAATATGTTCTTCTTTCGGACGAATTAAATATAGATTCTGAAGAAAGTAGATTTTATATAAAAATTGAATTTGTTCGGATTTGTTCAAATTCGCTCGGACGGACTGAACAGTTGAGTTGAGAACTGAGTTGTTGACTGATGTCTTTCATCGAATTGCCATTATTTTTATACTGAACTGACTACGGATTTTTTCCATTCATCCGATCCTGACAAAGAGTACATATGTTTGAACAGATTTAATTTTCTTCTTCTTTGCACAAGGTTTATCATTCCTCTGATAAAAAAGAGCATCCACAAAATTCAAAGATGGTACACCTATAATGAAGAAGTGAAGATAACGAACAGAAATCGATCTAAAAAAAATCTACATCTAATACAGGGCATAAAACACGAACTTCTGGAAATTCCAGAGGTAGGATCAGGTGCCTAGGAGAAGTAAGCATCTCCTGTAGACCGGTCACACCCGCCTGAGCCCTATCTATACTGATCAGGTACAGGCAGAATATTCCGTAGTCAAATTTAGTATAAAAACAAAGGCCTAATACATATAATTGGTATGAAACACGTCAGCCAAAATACGACCCAGTGCGAGTTTATATGAGCTATCAAGGTCATTATAACAACCACAGAATTTACAAAATGTTTACCTTAAACGGGGTTGTTGAAATCTCTGTAATATCTACTTATCTGTTATAAGCTTGCCTCCGCTTAAAAATTGATAGTACTCAGAGCATTCTCTTAGTACCAAATATATGGAAAGACGTCAACACCATACGCAATTGATAGCTAATTAGTACTCGAAATTATGGAAAGTTGAAGATGAAAAAGCTGTAGTCATCTTCTTTGCCATATCGTTCTTATCGTCTATAGTCAGTAAAACATCCAAATATAAAACAGATGTGGCAGATTCCGTGGTGTCTTCAATATATCTAAATGTCGAGTTGAAAGCCACAGCAAGTGTTTTCTTTTTCTCATGTAGAAGTTTTTGAATAAATTCTGCTTCTTAGGCCACAAACCTCTTGATTACATAAATATATCCTTAATGAAATTTACAAGGGGTCAGTATTCTACTAGGGTCATTTTTCTTCACTAAGGTAGATTTTAAGGGTGATTACACTTTTTCTACAGGCAAAAGGGTCATTTTTCGACATTGAATAATGACCAGCGGTCATGTTTCGACGGCAATTATTGATCGGGGGTCATTTTTCGACGTCTATAAATGACCCAGTAGATATTCTACGGGGCTCATTATTCGTCTCTAATGACGTTGATTTAAAAAAATAATGCATATACACATTTGGTAATTAATTAAACATTAACAAGTACATATTTAGCATGTTTATATATGCTTTCTTCACGTAAAATACTGTTCAGTTATATTCTTCATTCATAAAGACCATATTATTTAAAACTCCAACTTCAGCGATGAATATAATGACTGCACGCATACATTTACTCACTCACATACTTAAATTCAAGACATTTCTTAAATTGTTGCTGGATTCGTAGATTGTTTAAACACTACTGACGAAAAGCTAAAACACAGATGTAATCGGTGTATTCTTTACCTAAGTACTGTTGAAAGTAAGCGCTTTGCGTATAGTTTAAGTATTCCCTCGTTATAACAATATGTGAACACACTACCTACTTATCATTTCCAGAAGTTCGTTTTTTTTTCTATCTAGATCCAAATATGTACGAGAGAAATAATGCAGAGGGAAAAAATATGCATCTCCTACATCATCACAAACACGAAGAAAAGAACGAGAGGTCTATTAGACTAGCCTGACTCGAAAAGCCTTTACTGAAATTGATGAATTAGTAATGCTATAAGCTGGTTATGATTAAAATCCGTTTGATTCTGGAAACCCTAAACAGATTTTTTTTTCATAAGGAAGTTTCTATTAAATTTTCTATTTTTTTTTTTATTTTTCTATAGTACATGTATGTACAATTTTAAATCCTTTTGGGTGCTCCACCATATTCCTGGTGGCCACAATTCGACACATCGCGACTATTTTAAATACAAATGATGCTTGTATGATAATTTCACAATAAGCTTACGAGAAAATGTCAAGAAAATGATCTTCCAGTTTTTAATATTCTATCATTTTATACAATGAACCCCAAATTCGGTCTCTCCCTTAAAACGTTACTAAATTTAAGAATATTTTTTGCATATAAATTTCCTTTAAGTTTATGGGGAGTCGAACAAGAAGTTTGTGCGGAGATTCATCAAGTTCAAGTAAGAAGAATATGCAATAATTAAACATAAGTAATAATCGCCATCACGATCATCTTTGCGGTTAAATTAAAAACTACAAGCGGAGTCCCTATTTTACAATGATTTAGTAAAAAGGCATTGCTAACACGCGTTTAGCTTGAATTCCATACAAACACCGTTAACACAATGACCATATCCACTTATAAACAAAAAAATATTTGTTCCAGTTGTCAGGTACAAGTACAATAAATGTTTTCTACTAGATAAATAATATACTGGAACTTCGACTTTTTGTAAACTGTTACCAATGTAACCACAGCGACAATAAACTGGTGTATTTGAAGTTATATTTCTTTTTATTGTTCTGCGAGAAATGTATGTACTTATTACAGATTTGAGTCAACATTAAAAGTTTATATATATATATATATATATATATATATATATATATATATATATATATATATATATATATATATATATATATATATATTCGAATAAATCTGAATGTGAAAAGTGCATATGAAAAAGTATTTAGATAAAATCACAAGACCATTCAGAGAAGTCATGATTGGATGAAATAAACAATAAAGGATTATTCACATTTTTTATCTATTCCGATGTTGTTGTTTTGTTTTGTTTTTTTAATTTTGTTTTAACATTTTTGTCTGTACGTGTAGAAAATCCATCATTCATAAAAGAAAAAGAAAGCGGGATGTTTTCTTGTTTTCATGTATAGTGAATGTTTTCAGATATTGAATTAATTACACTGTTAACCAAAGAAAGGAGAAAAAGATATATTTGATAAGTACATCTGTGCAGATTTGTAGCAATAAAAATGTATTGTGGTTTAAAAGTCATAATTCTGAGACTAGAAATTTTAGAATGTGATTTTCAAACTTAAATGTACAGGACAATCAATGGACTAGTAAAAGTTTACTTACGTAAGATATTCATAATCCTACAAGTTCCATAACAAAGGGAATATAATTATAAGCGGTGAAGGTCTTTGATTTATGTTTGTTATGCCTAATCAGTCCTTTTCCGTCAATTGTATTAATCGGCAGATGACCACTTTAGACATATTTGACACAGGAGAACTGTCAATTATCCAAGCGTTTTAACTTCCAACATCTACTAGTAACAATCAAGGTTATTTGTGGCCAAATAAATTTTTAAGTAGTTGGTAAATTTTACGTCCGTCTTGGTTTTCCAAAAATGTATTTTAAAAATGTTAAACAATTCTCAAACTTGCATTAATACAGCAAGCGGTGATATTAACATAATTATGAAAGAAGACATTTTTAATTGCGTCTCATGCAGACCAGAACAACACGAAGGATAAATTTACCCTGCTTCTGTCTGTCTGTCTGTCCGTCCATCTGTCACATCTAATGTCTTTAGAACTGTACGAGGTAAAAAAAAAATGATATTTTGATCATGTATTCTTTGACACTATTGCTTTTGTAAAATACTTAGTACCATGGTTACCAAACTGGTGACCTTTCAATGTGACTTTTGATCTCATTTTCAAAATAGTCCAGAATGCCGATACACAGCATATTTTGGATATTTTAGAGGTGAGTTTGTGCTATTTAGCATGTGCATTTTTTCTTAAGATATTACGAAAAATACCTGCGTAAAAATCCACTTGACTTTTGACCTACTTTTAAAAAATACTCTGAACGCTTAATTTATCTTATGTCTTCTGAATTTTGAGACGCAGGGCTTCGATAACTAGTATATATATATTACATGTTTATGAGGTCATGACACCGTACTTTTAATCTGAATGATATAAAGTTACAACAAAAGCGAACTCTCGCTACAGTCACTCTTCAGACGTCCTATCATTCAAGTTACTTTTTTTTACTTGAACCGTGTCAGTATGAAAACAAACTAACTAGTCTATATTTTAAATGTGATTTTTTTTTTTCAAATACTAGTACTTAAGTTATTATTGAATAAATTAGTCATGTCCTTTTTTCAAGATAGACAAATTTTTATGCATCAGTATTACTCATATTGGCCACTTCAGTCCGGGTAATCAAATTCTACAGTTTTCTTCATAAATGTTCAGAATAGGACAACTAAAAAATGAATTCGGACAGGTTGCATTTGTTGGCAACTTGTCCGATGGACAGGCGGATCAGTTCTGCTGAGTCGTGCTAATTACGACTCTCCCGTTTGGAGTGTGGTCAATCCGTTCCACGTTATAAATATTCCGTTTTGTTCTTCCTGGTTCTATTGTAAATACAGTGTCAGAAGCACGAGGTTTCCTACATGTACCTTACGAAGTGGAAAACTATTATCATTTAATAATGAACATATAGTCCTCATCAATGTGTATAATTTATTACACATGAGCTGAGAGTTCCAGATGAGACTGAATTGGTCATGGCCTGAGAAACTTCCGGCACTCACGTGACTGTCGAGGCTTATGGACCTCTTGTTTTACTTATTGTAAATTTTTAAATGAAATAATACAAAATGCCTCTATAATACACACACACACCCTCAGACACACACACCCACACCCCCCCCCCCCACACCCACACACACCCACCCACCCACCCACCCACCCACACACACACACACACACACACACATATATATATATATATATATATATATATATATATATATATATATATATATATATATATATATATATATATATATATATATATATATATATATATATATATAATTGAAGAGTAATATGAAATTAAATGAATAATAAAATGTTTTAGTTAATCGTACACCTTGGTGGGGGTGGTTCAACAATGTTCAATAGATTATGACTCCTTTTAACTGTTACACAGAAAAGGAGGTATACATGTATCTCATCATTTATTTTATTTAATTTATTTATTTATATAAATCTATTTATATAAATATGATACAATACATTCAAATACATACAAGGTTCAATGATTTTAGCTATCAATCTCAGACATTGTATTTCTGAGCTATGTCTCATCTTGCTTCATTTTCTTTACGAATAAATCAACAACACCAACAACACCTTCTTTTTCCAATGGTCGATTAACTAACCGATAAACTAAGTTCATTGTACTGTTATGTACAAAACGTTCACATGGTTTGTCTTGTACACTCTGCAATACACACACATGTACTGTAATGTCTTTAGATGTTTGACATCTGTTCCTTGTATGATATACAATGTAGAATTGTATTGTATATTCCATTTTAATAAATATAAAATGTATTCTGTGTTTGATAAATTTTAATTCAGTTTTATACACATTTCTATTCCGTATTTTTTTTTTTTTTTTTTTTTTTTTTTTTTTTTGGACTAGTGAATTAAAAAGTTAAAAAAGGAGGGGAGCTCTTGCTAAAATTGGCATGTTTTAAATTACCGTAAATTAAATTGTGGTAAAATTTAGAAATTTATTTCAATATTAAGGATTATCTCCCTTATGCATCCATTTGTCAGCTCTTCTGTTTTTTAAATTCAAATTTTGAATTTTACCGGGTGGCAGTACATACAAAATTAACTTTACATTTACTGCCAAAATTCAGAATTTCCAACATGACACTCAAATAATAGATTCATCCATATGAAGATACTATGGTCGATATAATGACCTGCTTTGTAAGTACAACCTATCATTGGGTCGTATTTTGACTGACATGTTTCCTATCACTTTTAGGCCTTTGATTTTACTCTAATTATTACTATGGTTTATTCTGTTAACCTAATAAATATAGAGGGCTCAAGGTGGATGTGACCACTTACTCCTCATCGGCACCTGATCCCACTTTGTGTTTCCAGGGGTCCGTGTTTTTGCCCTGTACACGATTTTCATTGTTTGCATGATTAACGAGATCTGTCATTGTTCAATATCTTCGGTACTAGCTTGAAAACACGGATTTGTATTGACTTTCTGTGGTAAAATTTAGAAATTTATTTCAAAATTAAAGATTATCTCCCTCATGCATAGCTCTGATCTTTAGACGTATTTGGCTCCATTCTTTGGCACCTTATTAAGCTCTTCAAATTTTTTTTTATTTAAATATTTGGGATTTTCAACGTTTCGGCATGAGCATTACTGAAGAAATAATTTGTCGAAATGCGCATCTGTTGCATCAAAGTTGGTATATTATAAGATTTACATTATAGTACGATTGATTTCGTTCAATGAGCATTGGCTTACGGACCAACTTTGTCGTAAACTAAATTTTAAGATAAACAAACTAGTAAGGTTGTCTGCATTTTCATTTTTCTTACAGTTCTTGTGGTCACTCTAAATAATTATCAATCACTACACTTGTAAATATATTAAATAATACTATATTAGTATATGTAGCTGGAAAGTATTTCGAAAAATGAAATTCAATATTTTGTTAGAAAATAAAGATACGATTAGCCTACCTATATTTAGTTACCGAGTTTGGCCTGGACAGCCTCTGACCTGAGCAAGATGCCTGTTCAGAAAATCTCCGATTACTTGTAGTGGACATATAAAGTATAAGGAAGTGAAATTTATTTATATAAGTTTTTTAGAGTGCTCTCAGTCACTTAATTGTTTAGGGTAATATTTCACTTTAGGTATGAATGTTTACACTTCAACATCCTCGTTTGCCGTTAGCCGACAGTGATGCACTCAAACTTAACTAAGGCTATGATTCTATCTACTTATTTTTCTTGTCTTCCCTCAAAGGTGAGGATACATACTGCTTTAACCTGGATTCTTTTAAATTCTTCTCTGTTTTGCTTTGCTTCTAAACCAAGGACTGATGCCAAGAAAATCACAAAACATGTTAAAAAATGTGTTCATGTGAGGAGAAAAGGCAGTTATTTCATCCTACGAACATAGGACTAGAATTGGTCAACTTTTCCTCAAAAAATTTTCAGCCTTGTCCACAATGTAAATTATCTTAGTGGTCCTGGACACCCTTAACACTCCTAACTGGATTTGCTCTGGCACACAATAGTGTAAAGACTTTTACAAACCTTTTATGTAAGAATAATAATATTTAGCATGTATGTGTATCATTGAAAGACATTTTGTCGTTTTTTGCATCATACATGTAGCCTCCATATGGTCTCGACCTTTTACTTATGTAAAGGAGACTGAGAAGGTGTAATTTATACATATGACTGTGTGCTTACCCCGGTCATTTATTCGTAAAGAAATTCTTGTTATTCTTTTACCTTAGCCTAAATATTATTACGTATAGTATTTGCATGTTGGTATATCATTATGAGAGAATATTTCATGACTCACACACACCAATGAACTTTGACCTTAACATCAATTATCTTTTAAAGAAATCATTCTCTCCTTTTCATATTTTTCCTTAAACTTTTTACCTAGGTTTTTGTCTTATATTTGGAATTTGAGATTTTTCTCTGTATGATTACACATATTCTATTATTCCAAACACTGAAAAATATTATTTTTCAAAGAGTTCATTAATTTCCATTGTGTCATACGATCTTCTATCCTGTTACAAATATAAAGAAAATTGGATATAAATACTGAATGAAATATATGGAGATAACGAACAGTATTCAAGCTCAGAAGTCCATCAAACAATACAAAATAGGAGCGGAGCAAACACGGACCTCCAAAACATCAGAGGCGGTATCAGATGCAATGGAGGAGTGAGCATCCCCTGCCCGATCGGTCACACCCGCCGTGTGCTGCTTGTCATGATCGGGAAATAACGGAAAAATCCGTTGACAATTCAGTGTGTAAATAATGGTCAATGATAAATTGTATTTGCTGACAAGGTCATTGTATCGACCATTGTATCGACCATAGAACTTACGAAATGATGACTTTAAACGAGACTGCTGATATTCTTGTTTCATCAACTTGTTTGTCAGTAAACCTCGTTTTTGAAATTGTACATACATATGCTCTTGCGTATCGAATCAACTGAGAGATATAAACCCCGTATGCAGGTGATGAAGGTAAATATAAGTAAGGGAAGTTGACGATTGAAAAGTTAAAGTCATCACGTTTATCATAAAGCTTGGTTGTTAGATTACCATTAAATTCTTTTTCAAGTAAAATATCCAAATTTGAAACAGATGTGT